CCTACGCCTATAGGGATTCACGCGCTTTCTATGCACTTGGCGGCAAAAACGGCCGAAATCGTAGGCGCCGAACTTTTCTTCGCGCAAGAACCAAGCCGAAAAGGCTCTAATATGTGTATTTGAACATGGGCCACTCGAATATGCAATGAAATTCAGGTTGTTGATCATATTTCCCTACGCCTATAGGGATTCACGCGCTTTCTATGCACTTGGCGGCAAAAACGGCCGAAATCGTAGACGCCGAACTTTTCTTCGCGCAAGAACCAAGCAAAAAAGGCTCTAGTATGTGTATTTGAACATGGGCCACTCGAATATGCAATAAAATTCAGGTTGTTGAATGCTTTTCCCTACGCCTATATGGATTCACGCGCTTTCTAAGCACTTGGCGGCAAAAACGGCCGAAATCGTAGGTGCCGAACTTTTCTTCGCGCAAGAACCAAGCCGGAAAGGATCTGGTATGTGTATTTGAATATGGGCCACTCGAATATGCAATAAAATTCAGGTTGTTGATTGCTTTTCCCTACGCCTATAGGGATTCACGCACTTTCTAGGCACTTGGCAGCAAAAACGGCCGAAATCGTAGGCGCCGAACTTTTCTTCGCGCAAGAACCAAGCCAAAAAGGCTCTAGTATGTGTATTTGAACATGGGCCACTCGAATATGCAAAAAAATTCAGGTTGTTGATTGCTTTTCCCTACGCCTATAGGGATTCACGCGCTTTCTAGGCACTTGGCGGCAAAAACGGCCAAAATCGTAGGCGCCGAACTTTTCTTCGCGCAAGAACCAAGCCGAAAAGGCTCTAGTATGTGTATTCGAACATGGGCCATTTGAATATGCAATAGACTTCAGGTTGTTGAATGCTTTTTCCTACGCCTATAGGGATTCACGCGCTTTCTATGCACTTGGCGGCAAAAACGGCCGAAATTGTAGGCGCCGAACTTTTCTTCTCGCAAGAACCAAGCCGAAAAGGCTCTAGTATGTGTATTTGAACATGGGCCACTCGAATATGCAATAAAATTCATGTTGTTGAATGCTTTTCCCTACGCCTATAAGGATTCACGCGCTTTCTAGGCACTTGGCAGCAAAAACAGCCGGAATCGTAGGCGCCGAACATTTCTTCGCGCAAGAACCAAGCTGAAAAGGCTCTAGTATGTGTATTTGAATATGGGCCACTCGAATATGCAATAAAATTCAGGTTGTTGAATGCTTTTCCCTATGCCTATAGGGATTCACGCGCTTTCTAGGCACTTGGCGGCAAAAACGGCCAAAATCGTAGGCGCCGAACTTTTTTTCGCGCAAGAACCAAGCCGAAAAGGCTCTAGTATGTGTATTTGAACATGTGCCACTCGAATATGCAATAAAATTCAGGTTGTTGAATGCTTTTCCCTACGCCTATAGGGATTCACGCGCTTTCTATGCACTTGGCGGCAAAAACGGCCGAAATCGTAGGCGCCGAACTTTTCTTCGCGCAATAACCAAGCCGGAAAGGCTCTAGTATGTGTATTTGAACATGGGCCACCCGAATATGCAATAAAATTCAGGTTGTTGATTGCTTTTCCCTACGCCTATAGGGATTCACGCGCTTTCTAGACACTTGGCGGCAAAAACGGCCGAAATCGTAGGCGCCGAACTTTTCTTCGCACAAGAACCAAGCCGAAAAGGCTCTAGTATGTGTATTTGAACATGGGCCACTCGAATATGCAATAAAATTCAGGTTGTTGAATGCTTTTTCCTACGCCTATAGGGATTCACGCGCTTTCTAGGCACTTGGCGGCAAAAAACGGCCGAAATCGTAGGCACCGAACTTTTCTTCGCGCCAAGCCGAAAAGGCTCTATATGTGTATTTGAACATGGGCCGCTCGAATATGCAATAAAATTCAGGTTGTTGAATGTTTTTCCCTACGCCTACATAGATCCAGGGGCTTTCTAGGCAGTTGGCGGCAAAAACGGCCGAAATCGTAGGAGCCGAACTTTTCTTCGCGCAAGAACCAAGCTGAAAAGGCTCTAGTATGTTTTTTTGAACATGGTCCACTCGAATATGCAATAAAACTCAGGTTGTTGATCGCTCTTCTCTTCTCCTATAGGGAATCACGCGCTTTCTAGGCACTTGGCGGCAAAAACGGCCGAAATCGTAGGCGCCGAACTTTTCTTCGCGCAAGAACCGAGCCGAAAAGGCTCTAGTATGTGCATTTGAACATGGGCCACTCGAATATGCATTAAAATTCAGGTTGTTGATCGCTTTTCCCTACGTCTATAGTGATTCACGCGCTTTCTAGGCACTTCGCAGGAAAAACGGCTGAAATCGTGGGCGCCAGGCCTCTGGATAGGATTTGGGGTACTCTTCCTCGTAAGGCCAACACCCAGCTGTTACTCTTTCAGTAAGGGTGCTTCACAGGAACTGCTCTTAAAAATCAGGGTGCAAACAAGGTAAAGAAGTTGTCGAATATTTTTGCTGAGCATACTATGTAGGGTGTTAGTGTTGCAGTGTGTTGAGTCATCGTTGTTATGTGGAGGACCCAAGTTCGATACCTGTCGGGGTCATCCGCCGTAGGAAATGTGTTTTACGCGACCAATCCTGGTATCCTCTCTTAGATCGAACTCGATTTCATCAGTGCTACTACACCACATAGCTCTGAAATATCAGTGTCATACAATCGATCACTTTTTTTGGTAAGGGTCGAAAACAAAACCAGTCTTGTAAAAAAGGGTGCATCGTAAAACCCGCCCTTATAGTAAGGGTCATAAGGGTGAATCACCCTGATATCGAGAGGCCAGGTGGGCGCCGAACTTTTCTTCGCGCAAGAACCAAGCCGAAAAGGCTCTAGTATGTGTATTTGAACATGGGCCACTCGAATATGCATTAAAATTCAGGTTGTTGAATGCTTTTCCCTATGCCTATAGGGATTTACGCGCTTTTAGGCACTTGACGGCAAAAGCGGCCGAAATCGTAGACGCCGAACTTTTCTTCGCGCAAGAACCAAGCCGAAAAGGCTCTAGTATGTGTATTTGAACATGGGCCATTTTAATGTGCAATAAAAACAGCAAAAATACAATATTTGGCAAATTGACAGACATTGCATACGTGTTATGTAGTTGGGTAAACATCTGTTGTTCCACAGATATTTGCGTGAAGATATTACACATGAAGCAATTAAATTTATAATATTACACATGTTGATGAAGCCATTAATTGCATTTTGACACCTCTAATGATTTTTTAGATGATCCCTGTTTGATGTTGAGATAGTAAGTGGATTATAAAGTGAAATCATCTGTAAATCTTATCGAAGTGTGCACGTTACAAGCACAAACCATCTCAGGCTGGTTGGTGGTGGATGGGTGGGCGGGTGGGTGGGTGGGGCACGTCCCTGCCTGTTCGGAAAGCATGGATATCTCCCCTCGTTCATTCTCCGCCCGTTCGGGAAGTGACCACTGCGCACCCTAGCGCAGGGGGGCAGGCAGGGGCCACTCTGTGGTGTGGGCGCCGTGAGCTTCGGCCCGCTGGCTTGAATAACCCTGCCGCTCCGCGTCTGGCTTTTGGCAGTTCAAGTTTCAATTCAACCATCCGCCGTACAGTCGCGCATACGGCCCCCCCCAGGACCCCCCACCCAGCCCAACCACTCGCTCCCCTTTCCCCCCAACGACCCCCCGACTTTCCCCTTCGCTTCCCTCTCTCCCCCATACCGCAGCGTTTCTCCCCCTTTTCCCGCTTCAGGTTCTGCCCTGCTTCCGCCTCTACCCACCCCCCGCGCCTCACTCTATTCCATCTCCTCATGCCCGTTAGTCTCATGAAAACTCCTGTGCCTAACCCTGTCGTTTCTCAGCTATTATGGGTAACCGCTAACTAAGTCGCGTTCGCGTTTCGTGTTTTAAAACCTCGGGGCGTCGCATTGCGCGCTGTAAATCTTGATTTCTGTTATTACCCAGCTTCAGCTTCATCGTCTTAGAGCATTCCTGGGTGTTCCCCACTTAGGGTTTCCATGCTTCAAATGTCGGCAGCATGTCGCTCAACGCCACCTGTCGCTGCGTAATTCTCGCTGCGTGAGGGAGAGCGTTGATTATAACGTTGTCTCGCTTAATTTATCGGCGCATGTATTATGCGCTTCATGTTCGCAGGAGCTTTCCTGCACCCGAAACCAGCGGAAGATAATATATCATTTAGTGTGTATTTCCTGCCGTTCCACTGATCTTGATAGTTCCCCGGCGTTGTTCAATCGGGGAAGGCCCGGCGCGGAAATTACCCGTCGCTTCTTGCGACATTGCCGCGATTCCCCTGACCCTGACAGCCTTTGCAATCGTAACGTAACGCAGTTGTTTTTTCGCCACTGCCTTGCATCTACGCTCCCGCTTGCACGCCGTCTCCCTTTCCGAAGACGGCCGACGCGACGCTTGGCCAGCTGCGGATTGCGAAATATAGGCGCCGGCGGACGCGGAGGGAGAGAGACAGCGAGGGAGGGAGCGAGGGAGGGCGCGAGGGAGGGAAGGAGGGAGGAGGGTGGTGAGTCGATATGCCGGAGGGAGTGGAGAACGGTGGATGCACAAGCATGGTTGGCGACGGCTCGTGATTAGGGTGCCGCACAGTAGGTCTTTAATCGGCGGGAGAAGGCAAGTTCAGTCGCGAATGGGTATCGTTCCATGGGGTTGCCTTCTCCCACAGCCACGCACCCTTCTGGTACCTTCCTCGGCAATCCCGATAGCCTGACGTCAGGAGACGAAGCTGCTGACGAGAGCCTGAGTGGCCCGCCCACGCCGCCGTCGGTAGACGACCCGGGTGTGGTTCCTAGAGAGAGCGACAGCCGCAGCAGCACCGGCACGAGCACGAGCACCAGCACGAGCAGCGCAGCGGCTGCGGGAAGAAACGCATCCGGGAAAATCGTAGGGGCAGCAGCAGCAGCAGCAGCAGCAGCAGCAGCAGCAGCAGCAGGAGGAGGAGGAGGAGGAGGAGGGGGAGCAGCAGGAGCAGGAGCCATGGGTTCGACGGCAAAAGAGCTCCCGCGGGAGATGGCGACTAAGGACTCTTTACCCAAGCCAATCACAGCCGCGGACGACGTGAAGGAGGCGCCACACACGGTGATGATCCTGAAGCGGCCGTACGAGAACGTGCAGGACCAGTACAGCATGGGCAAGGAGCTGGGGCGCGGGCAGTACGGCGTGATCCGCGAGTGCAAGGACAAGATGACGGGCGTGTCGTTCGCGTGCAAGTCCATCAGCAAGACGAAGCTGAGCGGCACGCGCGAGGTGGAGGACGTGCAGCGGGAGATTAAGGTGATGGAGGTGCTGCGCGGCCACTCGGCTGTCATCGAGCTCCACGCGACTTACGAAGACCAGAAGGTACGGCGGTGCGGACGGGGGAATGGGGGATAGGTGCGGAAGGTACGGTGAGTGGAACATTTTTGAGGTGCCTCAAAGATAGGTGCGGAAGGTGCGGTGAGTGGAACATCGAAGGGACGGAGGTTATAGTGGGATGGAGGTGCTAGGGATTGGGTCCGTTTCGAGGCAGTTGTAGGTTGGAGCGGATCGTTTTCCTCGTTGACTTAGCAGGTGATTCACCGTTAAGGCAACGAGGCGTGCTGCTGGGAATAACTAGAAAAGTGGTTTCGCTGTGAGGGAGAACGGGGGTTGGCTGGAGGGCTGTCAGAAAGTGTCGCCTTTCGCATGCAGGCTTTCCAAGTGTTTTATCAGTATGTGACGCGACTGTTGAGTTTACTTGAGTCGTGTGGAAATTGTTATAATAAGCGACTTAAGGCCAAGGCTGGCGCTCGGTTGTGCGCTCTCGATCGCTCGGCTGTGCCCTGCCCCCTCCCTCGCCCAGCGCGCAATTCGCGAGCCAGCAGAACCCAGCACCTACCATCTCTCCCGCCCTGTTCTCTGCCCCTTCTCCCGCATTCTCCGCTCCATCCCGCCCAACCCCTTTTCTCCTCACCAGTAGACGTTTGTAGTAACATATTAAGGCAATTGCCCGTCAAGGCGTGTACCTGATGAGTTTACGAGAGCGTTCTAAAAGTCCTTTCAACTTGTGCGCCCGTCTACGTTTTGTGAAATTCACTATGAAAACATATAAGGAAAAACCGTTCAGCCGTGCACCTCTGATGTGTGAGCAGGAGCTGTGTGAGCCCATCTGATGTCAACTCTCTCTCCCATCCTAGTCCGGTGAAACACATTGTCTCCTAATAACCCTCCCGCTCCTCCCCCCCCCACTCTTCCCCCTCCCCTGCGCCGTGCACCTGATCCTGGAGCTGTGCGGGGGGGGGGCGGGTTTCGAAACCCTTCATTTGCACGCCCCCTGCCACCCCCGCTTTCGCCCCCATCTCCCTCTCCCCTCCCCCCCACCTGCCCCCCCCCCCCCCCCTCAGCGCGTGCACCTGATAATGGAGCTGTGCGAGGGCGGGGAGCTGTTTGAGCGCATCAGCCAGCGGCACCACTACCCGGAGGACGAGGCGGCGCTGCTCACACGCACGCTCATCTCCGTCGTGCAGCACTGCCAGGCGCACGGCCTCATGCACCGCGACCTCAAGCCCGAGAACATCCTGCTCGTCAACCGCAAGTCGCACACGCAGGTCAAGGTCGTGGACTACGGGCTCGCCGCCTTCGTCAAGCCGGGTGAGTTTCCTTTGACTGGGGGAGAGGGGAGGGAAGGAGGGGCATGAGGGGCAAGGTGTGGCTGGCTGGTGCTGTCACTGGTGCAGGTGCTTGTGCGCCCGTGGCGTTTGTGAAGCTCGGTGAGAATGCTGTGGGTAGAGGTCGTGCGTGGGCTCGTGCTGTTGCTGTTGGTGTTGCTCGTGTAGTGCACGTGCTCCTGCCGGTGCCATGAGGGTTTCGTGCGTCTGTGCGTCCTGCGCTCGCCCGCGTGCTGACTGACGCACAGGACGTGCTGCCCTCCAGCAATGCCCTTTCTTCTTCCCCTGTTCATTCCCTTCGTTGCCAATCCTGCTCCCTGTGTCCACCCCATCACCTGCCTCCCATGTCTGGCGAGGATCGCGTCCTGCTGTATGTATCTTCCGAGAAGAAAAAAAACATGAGTAATAATTCGTCTGGCGATAGGTCCCTTTTCCTTGCTCTGCACAATCAGGCACAGCCCTTCGTTACATTCTCCTCTCCCCTTAATCGCCACTCCCCCCTTCCGCCCCTCTCTTCTCTCTCTCCCGCCTCCGCTTCCCCTCTCCCCCCTCCCTTTCTCCCGTCTCGCCCTCTCCCCCTCCCCCCAGGCGGCAAGCTGACAACAATGGCGGGCAGCGCGTACTACATAGCGCCCGAGGTGCTGAACAACAACTACGGCATGGAGGCGGACATGTGGAGCGTGGGAGTCATCCTCTACATCCTGCTGTGCGGGCTGCCGCCCTTCTGGGCGGAGAAGGAGGAGGGCATATTCGAGGCCATCAAGACGGGCAAGGTGGACGTGTTCAGCGGGGGGTGGGAGAGCGTGTCCATGGACGCCAAGGACCTCGTGCTCAGGATGCTCACCAGGGACCCTCAGAAGCGAATCACGCCGGAGAAGGCTCTCGGTGAGTGGAGCAGGTTTTAAGGGAGGGGATGTGTGAGGGTTGGGGGGAGGAGGGGGAAGGGGAGGAACGGGGTGGGTGGTTGTACGGTTCTTGGCTTCTGGTTGGAGGGGTCTCTTGGGAGGAGAAGACTGGCAAGGTGGACGTGTTCAGTGGCGGGTGGGAGAGCGTGTCCATGGACGCTAAGGACCTCGTGCTGCGCATGCTCACGAGAGATCCTCAGAAGCGGATTACCCCTGAGAAGGCACTCGGTGAGTGGGGGAGGTTTTGAGGATGGGGGTGTGTGAGGGTTGGGGAAATGGGGGAAAGAAGGAGGAAAGGGGTTGGGGGTTGCACGGTTCTTGGCTTCTGGTTGGAGGGTTTTGCATTTGGGTGGGTGTCGGAGGGAGTTGTGGGGCGGAGATGGGAGGGGACAGGGTGTTTGTTTCAGTGCTCCTGCTTGCTGCTGCTGCTGCTGCTGCTGCTGCTGCTGCTGCTGCTGCTGCTGCTGCTGCTGCTGCTGCTGCTGCTGCTGCTGCTGCTGCTGCTGCTGCTGCTGTGTCTGCTCTCACGTCTTCCTCTTTTTCCCTCTACCCTTGCCCAAATCGTCCCTTCTCTTCCACTTTTTCCCCTTTATTCCCCCCAAACTCTAACTCACCACCACTCACCTTCCCAGCCAGTTCGTTCCCCCGACGTTCTTCCATCTCAACGTCTGTCTCACTCTCCTTGTCTCCCTTCCCCACCCCTTCCTCCCCCCTCCTCGCTCCCCCTCCCCCCTTGCGCGCGCCAGCGCACCGGTGGATAAAGCAGCACTGCAGCAACGCAGCAGACCATCTCCCGGGGCTGCCCGCAAAGCCAGTAACAGCGGACTCGCGTGCGCACCGCAAGGTGGACTCTCCACGCATCCCCCTGCCTGATGGCGACCGCAGGGGCGGCAGCAGCAGCAGCAGCAGCAGCCGCAACATTGCCAGCAGCAGCGCCAGCCGCAGCGGCGGCGCGGGCGGGTACAGGTACGGGAAGGACGGGGATTTGGCCTCACTGCTCGCCAGCGCGGATCTGGCGGCGGTGGCGGACGCTGTGGCGGCTATCCGCGCGAGTGGCGCGGGGGAGGAGCGGAAGGAGGAGCTAGCGGCGCTGCTGAAGCTGCAGGCGAAGCTGAAGGCGAAGGAGGGCGCGGGGGGGGACGCGGGGGCGGCGGCTGGCGGGAGCAGCAGCAGCAGCAGCAGCAGGAGACCGGAGTCTGCCTCTGCTGCGTCTTCCAGGAGGAGCGCTAGAGACGTGGAGAGGGCTTTAGCAGGGGCGTTGGCTGCAAAAGGCGGCGGTGGGAGCAGTGACAGGGCGAGGCGGAGCAGTTCTAACGTGAGCCGCACCAAGACTGCTGATACTGGCGCGCTGCTGGCCGCTCTGGCGGATCTGCAGGACGGCGGGGGCGGAGGGGGAGGCGGGGGCGGGGAGAGGGGAGGCGGGAGGCACAGGAGAACTGGGTCCCGCGGGACAGACGCTGGGGAAGATGAGGAGGAGCGGAAGCGGCACAGGGACCGGGACCGGGACGGGGGCAAGGGAGGGAAGAAGCAGGATGACAGCGTGAAGGAGATGTTTGCAGCGGCGAAGGACGCGCTAAGGGGCAAGGAGAAGGACGGAGGAGGGGGGAAAGAGGATAAGGAACGGCTGGCGAAGCTTCTGGCAAAGATGGAGGAGGTTAAGGCGTGGGAGAAGGACCGGACGGGCGGGCGGCCTTCGTCGTCTGCTTCTCGGAGCAGCAGGCGGGGGGACGACGGGGATGAGAAGGGCGGGAGGGAGAGAGATGGCGCTGGGTCGAGCCGGTTTCCGAGGGATTCGAGCACGTCTAGCCGGAGCAGTAATGCTGATCGGCTGTCGCGGTATAGGTCTGATGCTGCGAGCATGCTGGGTGCTCTAGAGGAGGAAGGGGGTAAGGATGACGCTTCGTCGCACAGCGGCAGGGGGAGGGACCGAGACCGGTACAGGGACAGGGATAGGGATCGGGATAAGGATAGGGACTGGGATAGGAGCAGAGAGAGGGATCGGTATAGGGATAGGGATAGGGACAGGGGGAGGGATTGGGACAGGGATAGGGATAGGGATAGGAGGGACCGGGATTGGGACCGGGATAGGAGCTGGGACAGGGACGGGGATAGGGACAGGGACAGGGATAGGGACAGGTACAGGCGAGATAGGGACAGGGACGACGATTTGGATAAGGATGGGTTGAAGGGGAAGGATTTGGATGGATCGAGGGAGCGGGGCAGTAGGGAGAGGGACCGAGAGAGGTACAGGGAGAGGGATAGGGACTGGGACAGGGACAGAGATGGTTACAGGGACCGGGATCGGGAGCGGTACAGAGATAGAGAGAGCAGGTATGGGTATAAAGATGACTATGAGAGTGATCAGGACAGGACCAGTGACAGCGACCGGGAGTATGGTCGTGATAGGGACAGGTATAGAGACAGAGACAGGTATAGGGACAGGGACCGGGACAGGTACAGGGATCGGGACTGGGATAGGGACAGGGATAGGGACTGGGACAGGAGGGACAGGGACCGCGATTGGGACTCGCGAGACAGGGATCGGTACAGGGATCGCGATCGGGACTGGGATAGGGATAGGGATAGGTATCGGGATAGGGACAGGGGAGACAGGGATTGGGACAGGGACCGTGATAGGCCGAGGTACCGAGACAGGGATGATTGGGACAGGGAGCGGGAGAGAGGGGGGTATGACTCTGATGAGAAGGAGCGAGACCGGAGAGACGGTGACAGGTCTAGGGATCGAGAGAGGGACCGGGGGAAGGGTGACAAGATGCCTACAACGCCAGGGTCTTTGCGGAGAGACAAGTTGGACAGTAGCAGCAAGAGCAAGAAGAGCAGCGGCGGCGGGGGGGGGATAATAAGGCACAAATCGGCGGATATTTCTAAGATGCTGAATGTGGGGGGGGATGATGATGGGGGTGGGCGGAAGGGCAGGGGCGGGAGGGATACTGACAGCCTTGCGGGGGGGATTGGGAAGTCTGGAGGGGGTGGGGGGAGAAGCAGTGGCCGCAAGATGGAGAGGTCTGCGAGCAATCAGTCCCAGCTGCTGCTAGGGCAGCAGTCTGCCGAAGGAAGAGGCTCGGATGGAGGCAGGTCCGGCGGCGCCGGCCGACGAGGCTTGGACCGGTCAAGATCCCCGGACGGAAAAGGGAGGTCCGGTAAGGATGGGCACGGGCGGAAATCGTCGATCGACTTGGAGGAGAGGGAGAGGGAGGAGGGGACGAGATCGCCGAGTGTGAAGGGCAAGGATGACAAGGAGGAGGGGGCGGGAGGGAGAGGCGGCAGCGGCGGCAGCGGCAGGAGGGGTTCTTCTAGCCGGGATTTAGCGCGGCGTATGTCCCCTTCCTGGCGGTCGGATGAAGACTCTGTGTCGTCCCCCTCGCGCCCCCCCACAGGGTCCCGCCTCCGGGGAAGCGGCAGCAGCAGCCGGAGGCAAATGGAGAGCCCGTCAGGCTCGGGTGGGTCTGGCCGGGAACGAAGCGGCGGTGCAGGCTCGGGGCGGTCGTTGCAGGTGCTGGAGGAGTCAGATGCGGAAGGAGGGGGGTGGACTAGTGCGAGGAAAGAGGGAGAGTCGCCAGGATCGGGAAAGGATAAGAAGAAAGGAGGGGATCAGGAAAAGGGGGGAGCGGATGAAGCGAAGGGAGAGGAGGGAGGGGATGAGGAGGGTGGCAGGGGGAAGGTGACAGCAAATGGAGTGGCGGAGGAGGGGGAGGCGGGGGAAGGTGGGGGGGATGCGGAAGGGGCAGGTGGGGAGGAGGGCAAGACAGGGGATGCGGTGGCAGAAGGGGTGAACGGCACACATGGCAAGGAGAAGGAGAGGGAGAGGGAGAGAGGGGGAGAAGGGGAGTACCAGCGGACTGACAGCAGAAGCTCTAGAACTGGATCGTACAGCCGAGACCGGGACAGAGACAGGGACAGGGATAGGGATAGGGATAGGTCGTCAGGGTACGGTCACACGGCCAGTGGTCGGGGTGGTATTCCCAAGTCTCCAAGGCAGGGGGGCGGAGCTGGTGTTCCACTGCGCTCCCCCAAGCGCGGCGGGCGGGATGGGGAGGACGGGGATGACAGTGCTCTGTCTAGGAACAAGTCTGTGAGTGCTTCGTGGCTTGAAGCGGAAGAGGTGAAGCGGGGAGAAGGAGGCGGGCATGAGCGGGGTGATAGGGACGGCCGGAGGGACCGAGGCGGGAGGAGAGGGGAGGACGGTGGGGAGTTTGGAGGGTTTGGTGGAGGGGGGAGGGAGAGGGGCGGCGGATGGGATGATGACGATCGGAGCGACAGAAGCCGGGAGAGAAACAGGGACCGGGACAGGGACCGGTACAGGGAGCGCGATCGTGACAAAGACTGGTTGCGGGAGAAGGACGGGAGGAGGGACAGCGGCGGTGGCAGTGGTGGTGGTGGCGGCAGCGGTGTGAGCAGCAGCAGCAGGCGTGGGGGCGGGTCAGAGGCTGGGGGGGGCGGTTCAGCCCTGAGGGGCCGTAGACAGAAGTCCCAAGACCTGTCGCTGCTGGTGCCGCAGGCGAGGGACGGAGAGGGCGGTGCTGGTTCAGGACGCGCGCGGAGCAGGGGAGGCGGCGGGGAGGAGTCGGAGCGGGAGAGTGAGTGGGAGCGGGAGAGGGACGGGGAGAGGGGCGGAAGCCGGCACAAGGAGAGGGATAGGCACCGTGAGAGGGGCGGGAGGGACAGGGATGGGGAAGGGGACGGGGAGAGGAGGCGGTCTGGGCATGGGGGCGGCAAGGGCAGTGGACTGTCGAGGCATAACTCCTCCGATGTGTCTGCACTGGTACCGTAGCTCTGCTGTGCTGAACACGGGGGGGGGGAGGGGGAGCAGCGCGGGGTTGCTGGTGGGGTTGTTTGACTCGAGGCATGGTGCGTGCAGGCACTGCTTGAGTTGTGGGTTGTCACATGACTTCCCTACCTCTGGTTTCCATGGCTCGCCCCTGGCCTTCATAGCTCGCTGCTTGATCCATGGTTCCAACGACTGGACTTCGTAGCTCTGTTGGATGGGTCGGGACTCTGACTGGACCGGCCGGCATGTGTCGATTCTTCTGTGTCTGACACTGGGACTCCTGGGTTTTACTGGTCACATCCCTTACCTACCTCTCCTTGCCTTGCAACTCCCGCCCTTACCTTCTGTAGTCCCACCCCATCCTTTACCCATGGCCTGTGCATTCTCTTGCTGCTGTGTGACGTCATGTCAGGCATAAGCAACAGAACGTGCACAGCAGCAGCACCTCTCCACCACCACCACCACCCACCTCATCCTCCTATTCACTGTTGCTACTTAAGTGATGTCCTCTTGTGTTTTACTTCCTCAACTCCTTGTGACCTCCAACAGACAGACACCATCTACCATACCAGTACCTGTGTGCCTTCTGTTTCAAAGTCATGGGCCCCATCTCCCCTTTCTTATCCACACCCTCTTTCCTCCCTATTTCCTCGTCCTCTTATCCTCCTTCCCGCCTCCTTGTAACGTGCTAGTGCCGCTAGTCAGCTTGCCAGTTTTTTGTCCCTAAGCTTACCTGCCTGAAGGTAATTCCTGTCATGATTGTGGCTAACGTTAACTCTAGGTTCAAGCTATACCCAGTTAGACAATCTCTTGAGGTGATACTCATAATTGATGCAGACTTTCCATGTAAAATCTGGATGATGATTCGGGTCAATATAACCATATAACTTATTGTTATGTTCTACAAACGGTAACATCGAACGCTTTCGCAGAGCATTTTGTTACTCCGCGCCTGGGCCCTACCGTTCATCCTCCCCAATTCCCCCCGAACCTCCTTCCGCCACTGCCTCCACCACCTCTTTTTGCTCCCTCCCGCTTCCGCTAGCACTACCACGTCCGCATGCATCTGCTTCCGCTAGCACTACCACTAATCCGCCAATCCCTGCAGCCATCATCCCCCTCCCACTGCTAATTAGCCTCAGCTGCTCCGCTCGCTTCCGCTTCTGGGCCTTCTGCCATAATTCCACCTTCCACCACCGCCACTTCCGCTCGCCGCTGCGCACTACCACCGATCTCGCCTTCCCCGGTCGCTCCCAGGCCAGAGCGTTCCATAGATTTCACGGCGCGCACCGTTCATTCCCACCGTTGATTTTCATCCCCATCCACAAGCTTTCGTCCTTCCGCCCTGCTCACCATGTTCCGTTCCGCCAAGCGCGTTCTCCTCCCCGCCGCGCGCGCGGCCGCCGGCGTTGCGCGGATCCACGGATCCGCCGCTGCGTCCGCCGAGTCGGCGAGCCTAGCGGAGGCTTACAAGCGCGTAGCGCCGCAGCTGGACGTGCCGTCCACGCCGCTGACTTACCTCAAGGAGCGTCCCGCCGTGTCGGCCACGATCCCGGAAAAGCTCACGCTTAACCTCTCTCTACCTCACGCTATGCCGTACAGCGCGAAAGAGGTAAGTTGCGAGCGGGGAAAGCGCTGATGATCGGAAGTGATTACACCTGGCTACGCTGACGAAGTGTACCGCAACCCGTTTAGGTTTTCGCCAGGTGATTTTCGCTTGGTTCTGAAACGGGATCGCAGCGCTGATACCCCTTCCACGAGAGCTCTAGGCTGTAGTCCGCATTAGTACTTTTCAAACGCTGCAGTCTCTCATTAATGGCGATCCGTCACTTCCAATGGTGGGTAGTGGGCCCTCGTTAAAGAGTTAAAGTGATTGGTAATGTATGTGGCATCATACGAGGAGATCGAGACCACGTCAGCATGTCATGCTACGTCAGGTCACGTCTACGTGAAGGATTCGCATCGTGTTCGCACATGTCTCTAGGTTTTTCCTAGCGCAAGCCTCGTACCACCTTCCTCTTTCTCCTTATTCTTCCCCCCAGCACAAGCATTATCCTTCACCCTGATCCCTTAGGCTTTCCACTTCATCTCCCTCTCCCCCTCCCCTTTTTCCCTCCTTTTCCCCGTTCTCCTCCCCCCTTCCCCTTTTTCCTTCCCCCTTCGTTTCCCTTCCCCTTTCCCTCTTCCCGTTCCGTCTTTCTTCATTCCGTTCCCTCTTCCCCTTTTTGCTCTCCTGTTCCCCGTTCCACCTTCTCGCTTTCCCATCCCCCTTCCTCCTTTCCCTTACCATTTCGTCCTTTTCCTTCCCCTTTTTCCCCCGTCCGTTCCCCCCTGACCCCTCCGGTCACCCTTCCCCTCACCCCGTCCCACGCCAGGTGGACAGCGTGATCATCCCTGCCACGTCAGGCCAGATGGGCGTGCTTCCAGGCCACGTGGCGTCCATTGCGGAGCTCAAGCCGGGCCTGCTGACAGTGATCGAGGGAACAACCGAAACAAAGCTGTTCGTGAGCAGCGGGTTCGCGTTCGTGCACCCCAACAGCGTGCTCGACGTGGCAGCCGTTGATGCGGTGCCGCTGGACCAGATCGACGGCGAGGAGGTGAAGAAGGGCCTGGCTGCGGCGCAAGCCAAGGTGGCGAGTGCAACGACTGATTTGGAGAAGGCAGAGGCTCAGATCAGCGTGGATGTGCACAGTGCTCTCAGTGCTGCCCTGGGGCTGTAGATTTGAAGGGGAGATAGGAGAGTGTGGGAGAAAGAGTGAGTTTGTTGCAGTGAGTTAAGCAAGGTGGGTATGATGGCGGATACGGAAAGGACGGGCATGGATGGATGTATATTGATCGGAAAAAGGAGATTAGGGATGTTTGGTACTCGTATGCTCCGATGAATCCTTTTAATTTGTTAGGAGGAACACCGAGTTCCGGATTCTTCTGAGCTGTATTGATCCGTGTATATCTTTTATCGAGTAACAAGTCTGTGCGGCATCATGCTCCGCGCGTTGTCCTCCTTCTATCGAGTATAAACGTGCCCCATCCAATTCATTCCATTCCAACTCACCACGCGCGTCGCAAAACCGCTCATCATGCCAAGATTCGACCTTCTCGTATTACTTCTTCTAGCGATTATTACCTGTCGCAGCGAGCCCATGCCCTCCAACTCTGCCCATTCTCGCCGTCAACCGCGCGCAACCGCCGCCCTCCTTCTCCCATCGCTACTCGCGCCTCTTCCTCCCGCCATGGCCAGCCGAACGCTGGAGCGAATAGCGCTCGTCTGTTTCGCGACCTACACTGCGTACTCGCTATTGCATCGCCCGCAGGAACCATCCCCAGCTGTCCGCGGCGCGATAACAGCAGCAAGGGAGGCGACAGACGCAATGGCATCGCAGGTTGAGGAACGGTTACTGGCGGTACAGGCGACGGTGGGAGCGATGATGAGAGAGAGAGGGGAGGGAGGGGAAGGAGACAGCCTCGATATAAGCAGTATTCGCGGTAATGGCGGCAGCAATAGCAGCAGTAACTGTAGCTGTAGTGCGACGCACGGGTGTTGCTGGTGCTGCGCGGATAGTGGTGAGGCGAGTCACAGCAGCAGCAGCAGCAGCAGCAGCAGCAGTAGCGCCATCAGCGGCAGAAAATGTGAGTCGTGTGTTCCTCCCTTGGTGGCCAGGTCTCCCCTGAGCTCCCGCCCCTCGTCCCTCATCCTTCATCCATAGTACCTCACCCTCAGCAGCACTTTCAACCTTGACCCCCCTGGCTCGTTTCCGCAGCCATCCCAGCGGTGCTGGCAGAGCTGCCAGCGGAGCTGGTGCGTAAGGCCCGCCCCAGGGGCCGCTGGACACGCCCCCACCATCTCCCCATCTACACACCCACAACTCTCGCACCCACCTTCACCTTCACCTTCACCTTCACCCCCACCACCCTTGCCCTGCATCTTTCCTTCTCCCGTCCTCGTCCCCACCCCCCGGCAGCGATCCCTGCACTGCTGGCGGAGCTGGTGCGCACGTCCCAGGGCCCGCTGGACGCGCTGACGTGGCGCAGCAAGGGCGTTCAGGACGCGCCTCCGCCCTCCATGGCCTCGCGCGCGCTCACTCTCTTCGGACAGGTGCTCCGGGGAGCTGGGGGGATGGGGGGTTGGGGGGACGGGGGGTTGGGGAGATGGGGGGATGGGGGGATGGCGGGATGGCGGGATGGGGGGATGGGGGGAGGGTGGGCGGGCGGGAGGACGGAATGGCAAATTAGGAAATTCAGAGATGGAAAGAGAATTGTTCCAGTTGTAGCAATGTGAATTGGTGAAAGTTCAATGTATCGGCGCCTACCTCTAACAAGCAGATTTCATCATGCCATGTCTTGGGGGTTTATTTGTTCTGCTTTGCTCATCCTCTCTCCTTTCTTGTGCTTGCTGCTCTGCTGCTGCAGACTGCCTCGTTCGAGGATGCACGAGGCAAGATTCTCCGTGTCAGTGTAAGCTGCTGCACTGTCTGCCGTCTTTTTCTTTTCTGCTGCATATCTCCATAACCACCGCACGCCCGTTGCGTGCATGTGTGCTCTGTGTGTGAGTAAGGAGGGTAGCGAGGGAAAATGTTCGTGCATGCATGTGAGCGTGTTTATGTGCGTGTGTATGTGTCTTTCTCTGCATGTGTTTACGTGCGGGCATGGATGGACGCGCACGTGCAGATGGGGGAGGGCGTGGTGGTGAATCTCATGGCAACCAAGGCGGGGTCACGGCGCAGTGGCGACATGCACAACTGCTCCCAACATGACGTCATCCTCTCCGGACGCACCAACCTCCACCTCACGGTCTGCATCTCACAAACCCCCTCCCACACAGCCCCTGGCACACACTGCACGCACTAGTAGCACAAGTGCTCCTCTTGACATGCATAACTGCTCCCAACATGACGTCGTCCTCTCCGGACGCACCAACCTTCATCTCACGGTCTGGTCTCCTCTCTGCCTGCTCACTGCCTCCCCTCGAATACAATATGTGCTCTTAAGCCACTGCATGTCGTTTCAAAACTCCTCTTTGCCTGCACGCATGCCTGCATCTGACAAACAACCTCCCCCCAGCAACCAGCCCCCAGCCGCTCCCCGACACCCCAACCCTTCCACCCCTTCTTGAGCGTTTCCTCTTTCATTACCCAGCTGCCCATCCCCCTACACACACGGTCTGCACACAGTCTTCTGTCTATTCTTTTCCTGTACGTACGCATCATGTTTGTTCCGAGTTGCATTATGTTTGTTCGTGATGTGTGTGCGTGTGTGAACGTTCATGTGTGGGGGGTGGGGAGTGCAGGACCTAGTGAGTGGAGGGGAGGAGGTGAGGGAGTATGATGGGTACCTCAACGTCATCACCATTCCCCCACGGTGAATCCCTTGCGTGTGAATCTCTAGCGTGTGAATCCCTTGCATGTGAATCCCTTGCATTTGAATCCCTTGCAAGTGAATCCCTTGCAAGTGAATCCCTTGCAAGTGAATCCCTTGCAAGTGAATCCCTTGCATGTGAATCCCTTGCATGTGAATCCTCTTTCCACTTCCTGCGTTTCACGTCTCTTGTTGCGCTTCATATCCATCTGCATTCCTCCATTGCATGGCATTGCACCCACACACAGGGTGCCGCACGTGTTCCACTTCCTGGAGGACAATGTCATGATCGAGTGGTGGGACTGTGACTGAGACTTTCCATATAAGATCCGCATGTATTGAGTCAACTCTCCTTGTGCATGCCCCTATGGTACTCACGCCCACACAGGGTGCCGCACATGTTTCACTTCTTGGAGGACAATCTCATGATCGAGTGGTGGGACTGTGACTTCAAAGCATGGTACCTTCCCTTCCCTCACTCCCTTCCTTTGTCCCTTTCTTTCTCCCTTTCTCTGACCTCCCGCTCCCTTCTCTCACTTTCCCCCCTTCTCTCACCTCTTCTCCTGCTTTCCCTTCAATGCTACTGCTCTCTCCCTGCAGTTCACCTCCTAAATTCATCTTCACAACCCTTCCATCCTTCCCTTCCCCAGCCCGCACTAACTCACACCGCTACACTCACATGCGCATGACTCTGCGTTCACCATCCGTGCATCTGTCCGTTCACGCACGTAGGCATGAACACACACAGTCACAAGCCACGTGTGTGCTCATGCCCTTTTCATCTCCTTGGCCAGTCATTACGGTACTGTCCATTGTGCTGCTGCGGTGCCTTGTTAAGGCATCGTCAGATTGTGGCACACTTGACGGCTTCACAGCAGTTCTTCCATCTGTTCCCCCCGCCCTCCGCTCCTCATGCAGGTACTACCGTCCTTATCGAGACATCGTAGAGGCCAAGCTGGGAGGAACAGAGTCAGGTTAGTACAGTAGGAGGCGGGAAGGACTATTGAAGACTATTGTAAGAAGCACACCTTCATCTCCGAAGCAGATGACAGGTGGGTTTGGTCTCCGTCACCGCAATATCGTGACTGCTGATTTATGCTGGCCTGTGTAAATAGGTATGTAGTTTTCACTTTCACCCTCACAACAGCAAATGTGTAGTCATGCTAGGAAGGGTTTCGCCGCCACATGCTGATAATTCTTAGCAAGGAAGGAGGAAACCAGCTTGCAAGTCCACTTTAATAAATGAAGCAAGAAGCAACCTCGGATCTTCGAGAAGTTAATTACAAGGGCTGTGGAAACGGAGGGAAAGCGACAGCCACCCAAACAACACATTATCCAGCAGTGAAGCTATATACAAGCATGCAGAAAGGATGACGTGATCATGTGACATAGCATATGAGCAGGCATGTAACCGCATGGCACAGAGCCGTGCCATGCAATGGTCAGAGGTTCACAGTCTCCAGCTGCCGCCATGACACCATAAACAGCCAACGACGGTGCCACCTCAGCTGCCACCATACCCTCTCAAACGCCCTGCCCTGGTGACACACTCCAGCGTCTCCGCACGGAAGGACAGTTGAAAGGTCTCGGGTTTAAGGTACATATGTACACGCAGGACAGCCATATCCACTTGCCGTGGGCCATGGGGCTTGGACCACTGAAAAGAGTTCAGCCTTGGGCGACTGGGAGGCACCAGAATTAACGGGTCACACACTTGGTATCTTGTTGCTGGCGACAGTGCCCCTTTCCAGCCGCCAGTCAGGAGGAGGAGCAGCGCAGAGCCACAGGCAGCACTTGAAAGGGGCAGGCGGGATGGCTGGAGGGGTTTCGCGGGGTTGGTTGGTTGGTGGTAGAACAACCAACCTTGGCTTGGCAGCTGCCTGGTCGATGGGCAGCTGTGCAAGGGTCTAGCAATGAGGCATGCCATGCCAAGCCATGCCATGCCAGAGCAGGAGCTTCTTTATTCGACTCAAAGAACAGCAGCAAAGTACACCGGACAGCTGCCTGCTCGGCGTCCATCCGTGTCACGGGCTGGCCTGCTGAGGGTGTGCCTGTGCGAGAGCTTCGCCCGTGGCAGCAGCAGCAGCTAGCGTTCTTCGGAGGGAAGACCGTAACGGCGATGGCGTGTGTGTGTGTGTGTGGCAGGTCAGGTCAGGTGGTGGCACACGGTCAGCATTCTGCCGAGGAGTGCATCTGAAACCACTTGTGCTCTGAAACGCAGAGGGCAAGGGGATGTGGCGGGGGGACAGGAGAGGGGCACGACTGGAGAGGTTAGTGAGGGGGTAGTGGCACAGGGAGGAGGAGTGGCGTGGGGGAGGAATAACAGAAGGTATAGAGGAGGACGAGCGAGACAGGAAGATGCAGGGCACGAGAATGATAGCAATACACAGAGAGGCAGCGGAATCTCGGCTCACCACACTACACTACACTACACTACACCACACCACGCCACGCCACGCAACACCACACTGCACCGCACCTAGATCTCAACTCACCGAGCACTTGGTGCGCCGTGGGGCGGGAGTCAGGGTCGCGGGAGAGCATCGCGGCCATCAGGTGCTTGGCCTCCGCGGACACGCGTTTTCAGTCAACTCAGGACACGCACCAAACCGCACCCCACCGCACCTCACAGTTTTGACTCACCGAGCACTTGCTGTGCAGTGGGGCGGGAGTCAGGGTCGCGGGAGAGCATGGCGGCGAGCAGGTGCTTGGCCTCCGCGGACACCCGCGCCCATGGCGCACCCGATTCTAGGTCCAACGGCGCACTCGCCACGGCTCTAAACACGTCCACTATGCTGGCTGCCGTGGGGGAGAGAAGGGGGGAAGGAGGAGGAGGGAGGGAGGGACGAGAAACCAAGGATGAGGGAGTGGGGTGAGGATGAAGGATGCCGGGATGGAGGGAGAGGGTGAGGGAGATTGCGCACGAGCATGCTGGAGACGGAGTTGCTAGCATGCCGGTGAGGCAGTGGGCGGGGGCGGGCCGCGGGGGTGTGCATAGAGTGGGGGAAATGGGAAGCGGGGTTGACACGAAGGGAGCGGGGCGCGGCGAGCACTCACGGCCGTCGAAGGGCAGGTGCGCGGAGAGGAGCAGGTGGAGGAGCACGCCCGCGCTCCACACGTCCGCGGAGTGCGCGTACCCGCGCCCCGACTGCCGCTTCAGCACCTCCGGCGCCACGTAGCACGGGCTGCCCGCCACGTCACGCAGGCGCTCGCCCGGGCGGCAGAAGGCGGCGAGGCCGAAGTCGATCGCGATGAGCGGGGAGGCGGCGGGGGATGCGGCGGGGGACGCGGCGGGGGACGCGGCGGGTGATGCGCCGGGGGATGCGCCGGGGGATGCGGAGAGGAAGAGGAAGTTGCTGGCCTTCACGTCGCGATGCACCACGCCGCGCGCGTGGCACTCCGCCACCACGCGCATCACTGCGCGCATCAGCCGCGCCGCCTCCGCCTCGCTCACCGCGCCCTGCGCGGGGGAAGGAAAAGGGGCGGGGAGGGGAGGCCAGAGAGGGGGGAAGGTTAAAATGAGGGGAAGAGATATAGATGAGGGGAAGAGATATAGATGGGGGAAAGGAACCGTAGCGGAGAGTGAACGGAGGGACGCACCTTGGAGGCGATGTAGTCGTGGAGGCTGGGACCGCGACAGAGCTGCATGACGATGTGACAGTGCGACGTCGCAGGGCCGTCGTCCACGACGTCGTGCAGTCGCACGACGCCGTCGACACCTTGCAACAGTCGCAGCACCACCACCTCCGTCAGCGCCGTTTGCAATCCCGCAGCACCCGCCGCCGATGGCGGTGTTGCGGCCGAGGCGGCGGCGCCTGCGCCGGCGCGAGCCGGCGAGGTGAGAGTGCTACCAGGCGTGGATCCGCAAGATGCGGAAGTCGTTCGCGACACGGGCGAGCCGGGCGCCATGAGATGGAGCGGTCCGGACGAGCACCCGTGACAATCACACATCCAGTCGCTCATCGCGCCGCTGTTGCTGCTGCTACCGCTGTCGCTGTCACTGCCATAGCAGCCGCTGCCGCATGTCGAACCGCCCGCGCTACCGCTACTGCTGCTACTACTACTGCTGCTACTGCTAGTGCCGTTGCTGGTGCTGTTGCTGCTACCGCCGCTGTTGCGAGTGGCATACGGAGGAGAACACATATACGGGCTTGTAAATGGGGACATCGGGTTTCCCGTTCCCTTGGGACCGTTGCATGCTACAACCATACTCGGCGCGCTGCTTCTCGCAATCGATTTGCACGCGTATTCCACTCCCGCATTCGGGCCGGTTTTAGCCCGGCAAACGCGCACAGACCCGAATTTGCCTTCACCCAGAGCTCGGTCTAAGTCATACCGTTCAAGCAGACTCCTGCTCGCAACTGTCGCGGTAAGAGGCGCTTCTCGAGCAGCACGTGGCGTCAATTTGGATTTGGTGTGGGATTTGGATGGCTGGGGTTTTAATCGCGACTTGGGGTCGCAATTTTGACGGCTGCTGCCCAACAAACGGCGGTGGAGAGAGACTTTGTCGGCTGCGGGTCCCCTTGCCACGTCAGCCGCGTACACTGCTGAGGGATACGTGGGCTTCGTTGAAGCGGCAAGCGGGCGAGTCTGCTCCGTTTCGGCGCGTGCGGAATTGCGACGTTGTTGTGCGACGTCGCAGAGGTCGTCCTCGTGGTCGCGCGGAAAGACTGAGGAACAAGCGTTTCCCATGGCATAACCAAAGGCGGCTCCAAAAGGAGGATTTAGTCAAAACTCTAGTCCAACAACTACCGCGCGGGGATTATGATAAATGCGGCTCTAGCTTGGAGTTTAGAAAAACGAATGGGATGGGACGGGAACCTGAGCTTTCGAACATGATAGCAGAAAGGAGGGACAGGCAGGGGGAAGGCGAGGAAGGAGCAGAAAGATCAAGAACGGTAGGAGATAGTGGTGGGAGGTTTCAAACAAAAATCAAGTCCCTCTGCAATCCGTTTCGAGCGGCAGCAGGTGGCGAGGCGAGGCGGGGCGAGGCGGCGATGCTGGGATGTGAATGACCCCACGCAATTACAGGCGACGAAGCACCCGCGCATCAGAAATTTAGAACAAGCGAGCAGCTACAGTGAGGGAATATGCTCGTGGGAAAGAGGATGTGGGAGGAAACGGGGCTGAGGGCGTATTCCTGGACCTCGTGTCAAGCTGTGTTTGTGTCAACCTAGAATCTTGGAACGCATGCGATTGGTTTAAAAGTTACAACTGGCCAATCAGGTGCGCTCCATAGTTATGGGTTGACACCAACTGGTTCTTGATACGAAGTCAGGAATACGACCTGAGAGACAGAACAGCAACACTGACGGGGAGCTGACGACGACGAGGAAGAACGGGTGAAAAATGCGTGTCGTTGGAGTTCCGACCAGCACCACCTATTTCCGTCTTTGTTTCGCATCTCATCCAACCTCCAACAGTTTGCTGCTGTCGACAACAGTTTCTTCTCCACCGAAGAAGGCCAATGCAATGGACCCGCGCAAACCTTTTCCAATGCCCCATTTTCATCACTCGCTTGCTGTCGTTTCGCTTTGGCTCTTGGTGGCATTACGGGGTGCGATTTGCTTTGGGCGGTCGCTCAATGCGCCCCTCCTCCCTTCTGGGCATCAAACCCCCCACTCCCCAACACCCCCCTCCCCCCCCCCCCCCTCCAAACACATTTTCCAGACCCACCTTGACCAGATTTTGCTCACAAAGCGCGCCGTACAAAAGCTCCCTGGATTCTGTGTTGATCAGCGCTGACCTGTCGCACGGGGACGTGGATCTTCCTTTATCTGCGCGTCTGCGACTGGTGCGATTCGTTACGCTGTCGCACTAACCGCTTTCAACGGCAATTGCATCTTTCCCTCCCACTCCACACCCTCCGGACATACCGCCACGGCCACCATTATCGTTGCGCGGGTGCTGGCAGGGGGGGGTGGGGTGAGGTGCCTCCCGAACAGGTTTTAGCAAACAGTGAAGACAACAGACTCGCGAGCGGTGGGCTACGACCCCCACGTACAAAGTGGAAACGGTACAAATAGGCTAAGCGTCTAATAACGCTAGAATCGGCGAAATCGCGCGCATCGGCGGAAATCGCGTTTGTCTCAAAAGAATCGACCCAAATTGCTCACACTTCGCCACGTGGGCGTTTTTCTCAATTGATTCGACCCCCTTTCCCCCCGCCCCCCCCGACCTGTTTTTCCCGCCCTTCCCCTCCGAAATTCGGGCACCCACTGGAATGCCGTGAAATACAAACAGTCACAAAAACATGCTTTTTCGTAACGATAAGATTTCAATATGCGAGCAACATCTAAATGGACCGAACACCTATGACTTTTAATGAGAACTTCAGCAGTAATATGGATTTTATTGATTATGTGCCACTGCAGTAACATAAATTCGAATCTATGTAGTATGAGTATTTTTTATAAATAATATCAAGCATTATAATCAAACAAAATATCTACCTAGTTCAAAAAAATTTATTTTGATTTGCACTTGAGTGATTATTATCATAAAGCTAAGAAATTTAACTCTTATATTTTTATGGTTTCTGGAATACGCTTTATTTAGATATATAAAAACATAAAAAGCTGTAGGTTATTTGTCATGTGTTTCCTTGCGCCCCTAACTACATTAATGGCATGGACTAATCCAAAAAACATATGATACAATCAACGTCCATATGAGCCTGCTGAGATTGAGAAGCAACCGCCGAAATTATCAATTGCGAAAGCTGACGTGGCATGCCACAACTACATGGTAGATTTGGCATTTGTAGGGAGCACGTATTCGTGACTGTTTGTGATTCCACAAAAATTTAGCGGGTGCCAGAATTTCGGAGGGGAAGGGCGGGAAAAACGGGTTGGGGGGGCGGGGGGAAAGGGGGTCGAATCAGTTGAGAAAAACGCCCAGGTGGCGAAGTGTGAGCAATTCGGGTCGATTCTTTTGAGACAAACGCGATTTCCGCCGATGCGCGCGATTTCGCCGCTAGAATCCGCGTCTTTCTCATCCTCACAAGAGGTTTTACGACTACACCGAACAATTCAGAGTGTACAGACGCCCACCACCCTAAAAAATGTTTGCTCCCGTGAAAGACAACCAACCAATGAGGAGCAACCACCCGTTTTTCTGCGGCGTTGTCAGCGACAAGCTCATCTTGCCTTGCTTGTTTCACGCAACCGTCAGCTGTTGACTATTTCTCACAATCGTGGGATCTGCCTCACGTGGTGCTGACACCGTTGATGACATATGTGTGGATGAAGTCGAGGTCCACGCGTTTCACCATCAGCGTACAGTCGTCTAGTGTTCTGGTTTCTTGAGGTGGCAACGAGGGCAGCTTCAGCGCCACCTGACACGCATGCCCTGGCAAACGAGCTCGTACACGTCATCGATGGGACTTGTCTGTCACATCACATTTCCCTCCCGCACAACATATGTTTCGTCGTACTGTACAGTGCAGAGCAGGCGTGTCATGATCCAACAAACATTGCGCGCCAGCTGGAGTGTACAGCACAAGGTCCCTCCAAGCCAGTGTTGTGCGGGGGCGTTCGCTCTGAAAGAAAATGCGATAATTTTTCAAACCCTAGAGACACCTCACACATACAATAGTGTATCAAACCCTTTCTTTGGGGCCCCAATGCACAGGCAGCCTATGAACAACAGGATATGTCCTCGCCATCCACAGCAAAATTCATCTATGCTTCTTGATTATCTGAAACAATCTTTGCACCCCATAACGAACTTACGACTACATATGAACAAAAGAATGCAGACATTTATGCTCACAGCCAGCAGCACCCTGACAGCATTCAAAAACACGCCCCAGCACACCAGCTAGAGGAGCTGCACCTTGTCCCAGCTGCACAGGAGCACCTTTTATTGCTTGGCAGGCGTACATAACACCTCGTCCTATCTACATCCACTATCTATCTTCGCACCAGCCTACCAGCAGCCTTTCCCAATCACCCAGCCTTGTCCCTACTTCAAAGCAGGGCCAAAAAAGCGGCTGCTGAAGGGTTGCGCTTTCCCATCCCCCCCAATAAAGATCCATCCTTATTGCACCATGTCCTTATTTCCTTATTTCCTTGCTTCCTTGCAGCCAGCCTGGGACGGGCCTTCCTGGGGACTCTCCCTCTGCGCCCCCACCCACATGGACCTCAGGGTGCACGCCAGAAGCACCTTCGATGCTGCCCCTGCTGCACCGCAATGCACCACAAGCAACCCCCCTACACCGAGCCCCATAGCTGCCACGGCCACCACAGGCACGACTCCCCTCAACAGCAGCACCCGTTTGCCATCAGAGGTCCGGGCCATGGAGGCCCCTGCTGCTGCTGTTGCTGCTGCTGCCGATGACGGTGCCAGTGCTGCTGCCGCTGAGCCTGGCGCTGAAGTCGTTGCGAAGAAGCTTCTGCTGCTGCTGATGCCGGCAGCAGTGGCGGCAGCGGCGGAGCGGAGGCAGCTGAACGCACGCGAGAGGGAGAGGCCAGGGCGGGGTGTGAAGCGCAGGAGGCGCGGCAGCGACGGCTGCGCGGCAAAGGACCGACTCAGAGCCGCACCTGCTTCACCTGCTCCAGATGCTGACGCTGACAATGCTGCTAGTGTCGACACCTCCGCCTGTGCAGCAACACCCGCTGCTGCTGCGTCTCCTGCAGGAAGTATGCCATCTTGGTCAAAAACTCTGCTGCTGCCATGCTGGCTTGACAACACGGGTTGCTGCACCCCCTCCATCTCCTCCGCCCTCTCCTCCCCCCCTTGCTCCTGCTGCGCCTGCACACTCTTCTCCCCTTGAACCACCTCAACCCCAGTGGGGTGAGGAGGAGGAGGCGGAGGCAGCAGCAGGTGCGGGTGCAGCTGTGCATACCCGCGGATGTGTGCGAGTGTGTTGCACACATAACCCCATGCGCCGCGCCTGAATGCCATCTTTGCCATGTCTCTTTGAATGCCACAGTCATCCCGCACCACCATCTCTATCTCAGCAGCTTTTCGCCCGTCTGGCAGGACAACTGGCGAGGGGAGAAGAGGGGGGGAGTGAGGAAGTGGGGAGGGAAGGGCACGGAGAAAGGACAGGTTGAGGAGGAGGGGTTTGAGAGGGTGACTTGAGCTGTTTGAATCAGCAAGAAGGGCATACAATATGAACAAAATGCACAAGACAGCAGGAACACAATGGAGAGAGAACGGTAGGAGCAAAGCCGAATGAGGTTGAGCATGGTGGAGTATGGTCACAGGGCACGCACCATCCTGCACTCTCCATCCGCAGTTGTAAATATCCACCCGCTTTGGCTTCGACTTGCGGGGCACGCTTGCATCCTCCACTGCTTTTGTCACACAGAACACCACCTCCCCTCCTTCCACTCCCCGCACCCCTCCCTCCTCCTCCCTCCCCGCCGGACCACCCCCCCACATCTCCCACACCTTCCAAGCCAGGACATACTCCCGGGCAGCACAGAGCGGGTATTTTCTTTCGAACCTGCCCTTGTGCACGCCGGTGACAGGGCAGGCGGAGAGCGGGGAGAAGGCCTTGAGCACAGGGTCGCACTGGTGCTGCAGGTGGTACGAGCAGTCCGTGTAGTATGCTGCTACGAGCTGCGCTGGCAGGCCGAGAAAGCGCGTGAGCGTGTGGTATTCCGTTGGTCCGCCATTCTGCGAAAGAGGAGTGAGTGAAGGAAAAGGGAGGAGAGTGAGGAGCGAGCCACGTGGCATGGAAGCCCCAATCCGTGTCGAGCTGCTTTATTCTGCTTCCGAGGTGTACACACACACCAGGACAAAAAAAAAAAAAAAAAAAACTCCTGTGTTGATATGCCAGAAGCCTTTACCTTGGGGTCTCGCCTCCACGCCTCGTACTGCACGTCGTCACTCTCTTTGTCTATGATCCGGTCCCAGCGCCCCAGCCCTTCGTCATACGACCAGTCCAGGTGCAGCATCAGGTCAGCCAGATCCCCCGAGTTCACCTCGCCCCTGTCACTCTCCATAAACGCCTCCGCTGCAGCTGCTGCCGCTGCTGCCGCTGCTGCTGAACCATCGGCGTCGGCAGGAACAGCACCAACAGTGGCAGCACCAGTGGCAGCATCAGTGGCTGGACATGTGGCACGCGGGGAGAGCAGGGCGGCGCTCGCAGCGGCGGCAGCGTCAGCAGCGCGGTGGAGCAGGTGTAGGCGCTCTGCTGCTGCTGCTGAGGATGTGCAAGTGGGCGACGATGCTGTGAAGCGGGGGAAGGGCGACGACACGCGGGGAGACGCGGACGAGGGGGAAGGCTGGTGGGACGCGGACAGAAAGGTGGTCTCGGGAACTCTGAAAGGGGGGAAAACGGGGAAGGAGGGGTGGGAGGCGGGAGTGATTAGGAGAACGGGAGAGTGAAGGAGAGAGAAGGGGTGAGGGGGAGACTTGAAGAAGGGGAGAGGGGGGAGAATCATAACTCACTCGACACTCAGGTTGCTGATTTTCTTCGTCATCCCCCCGGCAGCTGCTGCTGCTGTTCCGGCGCCCAGACCCTCGCGCAATACGTCCGTTGCACCGTCCGACCCCGAGCCGCCACCGACCGAGGCGTCAACGCTCACGCGCCACCACCACCCACTGCCCCACCACCAGCCTCCCTCGCTCGTCCCCGCCGCTCCCGCCGGCGCAGATGGCGTCGTTGCATCGCCCACCGTCATCCTGGCTACGTCAAACTCCGCTGCCGGCCCTGACTGCTCAATTGTTTCTGCTAGTACTCTCGCCTCCGCCGCTGTGCTCGCGTCGCCGCGCAATTCCACGTCGTCACTCATACCGCCGCCTATACTTCCGCTAAACCCCACCCCGCTCGTTGCGCTGCGCTCGCTCCGCCTTCTCCCCCTCGAAGCTGCGCCGGCGGCGGAAGTCGAGGGCGGTAAAAGAACCGAAACGCCCGCGGCGCAAAGAGCGGTGAGCAGGAGGAGGAGGAGGAGGTTGAATGGGCGATCGAGAGACGGGGAAAGTGACGGCAGCGAGAGAGAGATGGGGAAGGAGAGGGCGGACGAGAGGTGCCATAGGGACAACGCGCAGGCCTCGATCATCCTTATATCGAGTGGAACGCCGAGCGACGAGAAGAGGTCGAGAAGGGACGGCTGCGCGCCGTAGCCTGCGAAACGCACTCCAACTATGGCTGCCACACCGAGGCTCGAACCCACGCCCATAGTTACCGCAGCAGTCCAACTCTTCGCACTCTTTCCGCTTTTCCCGGCCTGCTGCTCCAGGTTCACCGGCGATTGCGGCGGTGGATGCGGAGCTTGAGGCGGCGTCGTTCGCGGCGACTGCGGCGGCGGCGGCAGAATTGACGGCGGCGGTAGTTCCGCGAATGGAAGCGGGAACTCCGGGAGGCTGGTAGGCGGAGAAATCCAGGAAGGGGTTGGAAAGGGGTTGATAAGGCGAATCGGTCATAGAAATAAACGGGGAAAAGCAATCACGGAAGCAGGCCCGGGTTAGCAGCAAAAAATCAAAGAAATTAAAAGAGTAACTTCGAAATAGCTCAAAATAGCCGAGGGTTACCTGGTCGAGACGGTCGGTTCCCGATCGAGAAGCGGCGCGGACGGGGAGGTAAAGAGACAAGGCGTGGCGACGGAAGCAGCAGAGACAGAGGGCGACGAGAGCGACACGGGGAGAACCGCCGAAGTCGCCGCGGAGCGCGGCGTGGACAGGGACGGCGGAGCCAGTAGCTTCCCCGCGACGTGCGCGCAAGCCGGCGAGAATGACGGTAGCATGGCATCGGTCATAAGTGCCGCGTCTGCGATGATTATGTTGCTGGCGCTCCGGCAACTTGCGACGGAACAGATGCGAGGGAGGGAGTGCGAGTGCGGATGGGGGTGCGGATGGGGATCGACCGCGCTATGCCGCGCGCAAGCGGACGAGACGGCTGTGGCCTCCGTGTCGGCGCAATGGAGGGCCGCCACGTGTTGGGCGATGTTGCACGTGCTGCAACTCATGGCGACGCGCTATGGCGGTTTTGCTCCAATTCTAACCTCTAAGCTTAATTAGTTGGCGCCCTGTTCTATCTAACGAAAGAAGCTCTAGTTGGCAGCTAAGGAACCAAAGCGTGTCAAGCGGGATCAACGAGTGTGGTTCCAAACGCAAATAGCAGATCGGCGAGTAAGAGATTAATGAAAGGCCACAGCAGTCAAGGACAGTAACTCGTGATCGTAACAACTTTCCAATGAGGCTCACCCAGAATCACCATTATTGCTATAGTGCTCGTTGTTTGCAGAATTGACGACTGCCTCAGACGTCGTCTGCGGAGCCTAAAATACAGAGCATGCAGAGGGAATGTCTGTCTGGTGGCTGGATGGATCCAGTTGGGCCTCCATGGACAAAGTGTGCTTGGGAGGGCGGAGGAGGAAACGCCGCGCCACGCGCTGAGAAGCTGCAGTGAGGTGAAGAAGCACGATGGTTTTGAGGAGGAAGTGTTTGTTACACGACTCATGCGAGGACGAATTACGATTCGCTGCGGTCGCAAAGAGTCGCACGCGGCGGATGAGATCGAAGGGACTCGACGACAACAGAACAAGTGGCCCTGACGGCGAACCGCGTGCGACGATTGGCGAGAGAGAGAAAGGGAGAATTGGGCTGGGATGGGGATGGATGGTGTGCGGACAGAGAAGATTGCGGGAGTTTTCGACTGCGGCGAGCGATCGAGGCGCGCCTCAGAGACTAGCTGCTGGTGTCAGCAAGAATATATTCCACCTACTTCCGGCGTTGCGTAGGCCACGAAATACCTCGAGGAAAACCACTGCACCTACTTACGACGTGGCAAGGTAGATAGGACCTGGTCATCGAACCCATTCAGCAAGCGTGAATGACGTGTAAATCACAGCTTCAGGTCGCTGCGCTTGCCAAGTTTATGCTTCCACGTGGAACTCGTGTCAGTTTCAGTGTTTCGACTGGACACCGGGCGACCTCTTGAAATTGCCCCACCCAATGGAACCCTGAGCTGGCACGAGGGCCATGTGGAGTGGAAACCGTCAGCCCTGAGCAACAGCCCAATCAGCTTTCGTCAACGGGGTTTCAGTAGGGGGAACCCCCAACCTAGTTTTCGGCGGATCACACGGGAACTGTAGAAGATGCCGTCAATGATTTTAGAGGCGTATGATTGGCCGAATCACGGGCCGCGTAGATGCTGGGTTTGACTGGATTCGACTTTCGACTGAAGCATACACCCACTGTGAGTGTTCAGCCGCATATACGGATAAGAGTATTTTCCTTAAAAACTTGGGAAGCAGTCTACAGTCACAAGGCTAGAATATAAGTCACAAGGCTTATCTGGATATTCAGACCTCAACGAGCATACACTAGTCAAGTTTGACGGATGAGAAAAGATAATACACAAAGTATGCAGATGAAAAGAACCCAACTGTTCCTGTGGCAAGGAAAATCGCCAGAGACATGAGAAGGGAGTAGCAGAGGAATATGGTGGCGGACAGAAGGCTGCGCATGTGCCGCAAGTCCACCACGAGGTACAGAACACAGAAGAGGAACACATAACACGCAACCGACCCTGAAGCGAATAAACTGCGCCACCACCAGCGATAATCTTCCATGGTGAGCTGGAGGTATGTGAAGACGACAGCCACTTCTGCGCACACCAGCATTAGCAGGATAAGGACGACAAAGAGGAATCCAAACCCGTAGTACACCCTCTGCATCCACATTGAAGACATAATGAAGTATAGCTCAATGTACAGGGTGCCAAACGGGAGAATACCCCCAGCTAAAATAAGCAGCCAGGGGGTGTAGCTTCCATAGCCATGAAAACCCAAGTGGATCATGTAATTCGGCTCCGGAATCTCCCTTGGGATTTGATTTGTCCGCACCGGATAGGCGATTTTTGGCTCCCTCAGACCAAGGTTGCAACCGAGGATGGTTAGAGGGACGGAAATGACGAACCAGAGGAGGAAGAGGTAGGAGAAGAGGGAGAACGGAACGGCGCCTGTGCTACCCGTGGCCCAGATAAACAGATTGATGACCAGGAGGGTCACCGCGCAGATCCCAGGGAAGAAACATGCTACTTTGATCGCCAAAACCCTGACTGCTGCTGCTGCTTCTTCGGAGAGAGGGCTGCTGCCCTTACCACTGCTGCTGCTGCCACCATCACTGCTGTTATTGCTGGCGCCGGCACTGGCAACAGTGACGCCAGAAAGCGTTACCCACATGCGGGCGGCGACGTAACCAGAGACGACGCTGAGAAGCAGGTAGAAGAGGACCATGCCCATGAGCAGCGCACCCCTGGACGCAGGAGACATGAACCCCAGCGCCGCAAAGAAAATGGTAACCACTGCCATGCACAGCAGCTGCGAGCCGTTTGATACGACAATGCACAGCACCTCGGGATGCGGCGGCGACCGGAAAATATCCCCCACCAGCAGCTTCCACCCGCTCTCGTCCGCTAACTGCTGAGCCTCCTCCTTGTCCCTGCTGTTGATTCTCGCTAGGTCCCGATGCACGGATCGGAGGAGAATCGCGAAAACCGCGGCGGCCAGGCAGGAAATGACGACGAGGGAGTTGAGAATGGAGAACCAGTGGACCTTATCGCCGCGCATCTTTAGGTACGCGTCCCAGCGGCTCGCCCACTGAATCGGGCTCTTCTCCCATAAAACGTCGAAAGAAAAGACGACGGATTCCCCGGGAGCAATGGGCTGCGGATCGCCTCTGAAGCAGTCGATCGGATCTAGGGTTGAGTAGCGCGGGATTTCGGGATCCGGGGAGCGGCGGATGCTGCAAGCCGCGGATTCGAAGCCCACGACCACGAACCCCTTCGCGGTGCCGTTCGAGGATGAATTCTGATTTGTGTAGCTGCCGTCCTGAGGAAAAACGTCAACAGAGGAATACCCCGTCGACATCCCGGCCAGTGCGGCGGGCGACTCGACGTACTCATGCACCAGGACCTTGAAAAGGATGTGATTGTAGAGGTAGTATTGACCGTTGTAACTATACCCGATGGGGATGCCGGTGAGGATGTCACCTTCGTTGTCTTCTAGCGAGAAGAGAGTAACTGGGAGGTTATCCAAGAGAAAATTGACGTGATAAAAGCCGTCGATCTTAGACTTGAGATTCTCCACGTCCGCTTCGGTGAGGGGACCCACGTCGCATGCCTTAACGGCGCGCTGCTTGACTAGCGTGCGGAACTTATACGGCGAGTTCTCGATCAGGTCGCCGATTAAAACCTCGCCGAAATTCTCGTCCAGTCGCTGTATCCCCTCCTCCGGCTGGCAGAACGGCAGGCTGTAGTAGCTAAACGACAGACCGGTCTCGTTAGACGTCAGGGAGTTAACTTTAACGTTCAGAGTGTCATTGGGAGCGTGTGCCTTAGGGTACATTCCCGGGAGGTACAACGCCGTAGCGGGGACGACACCTATTGTGGCGATATAGAGGCCAATGAAAGCAACGAAGGCCGCCATAAGGGAATCGTGGAGCTTGAACGGCTGCCGCATTAGACGGCGCATGTTACGATCTCGGATCATACGCAGAAGATCGACTTGACTCGCCACGCTAAGGGCGCGTGCGTTCTTGCCGAACCTGACAAAGTTCGAACTCGAACCGTTTTGCACCGTGACGAAACGTTCTTAATTGTATTTTACCGTGACGAACCGTTATGAAAGTTCGAACTTTCAATCAGGTTCGGCAAGAACACACGCGCCCTAAAACCGTCTTCAGGCGTGGTTGGTTTGCACTCAACTGAATCTGTTGTTACAACCTTCCCTATTGTGTGTATGAATGAAAGAGTGGGATTAGCCCTGTCTGTTGCTTAGCCTAGTTCTGTCTCTGCAGCTATCTACCCTTAGCCCTGTTGGTGCAATTGCACACCAGAACATATTCAGGTATTTAATACATGCAATTTTGAACCCCACACGATGACATAGCAATTTAAGGTCTTCAAAATAATACATATGAGAGCTATTATCTGTACACACATGATCCTGTAGAAGAATCTAAGAACCACAGCCCACGTTCTTGCAGTCGTCTGCATTTCTCCGCCCTATCTGCTGTTGCGGGGCATGGAGGAATGAATGCAGGGAAGAGGATAAGGGCTCTATAAGCACCCGTAAGATCACAAGAGTGTGAAACATATGCATGAGAACCATAGGACGTTTTGGAGGGAGAGGGAACAGAAACAAGGAGATACACATAAAAGTGCATGGAGACAGAGTTTCGATGCACGCACACACTTCCCCCCATCACATGTCAAATCGATATTTCGGAATACAATTCGCATGCTAACATGCATGCAATCACACCAAGGACGTCCATCGACACACAAACAGATGCAGGAACAGGGCAGACGCAGTGGCAAACACACCATTCCAGAAGAAGCAAAAAGGGAAAAAAATAAGGAGAAAAGTAATGAAGAATCAACACTTCTTTGAGCAGCACTGACCTAGCTTGTGGTCACTGGGGAGCACGCGGCATCCAATGCGCCCACACGCCTTTCTCACATTGGCCGCGTCCCACAGGCCAAACATGGCGGCCGTGGGGAAGTGGCGGCGGTTCAAGAGCCGGGTTTTCACCCCGGATGGTGACCGGCAGGCATCTGAGCCCAGCTGCAGTGCAGGGGACGAGATGAGGGCACGAGATGAGGGGACGAGGGTTGAAGAGAGGTTAAATTCGAGTCGACTCAACAACAGCCGTGTTTTCACCCCGGATGGTGACCGGCAGGCATATGAGCCCAGCTGCAGTGCAGGGGACGAAATGAGGGCACGATGGTTGGTTGGGGAGAACCGGTGCGAATCATACTTGCGCTTGGAGTTGATCTAACAAAAGCAGGCGAGAACGCGGGCAGCAGCAGGTCAAAAGGGAGTAGAAGAGGGTGTGATGTGATGCATTGGGGGCGATTGGGCAGTGAAACTATTACATTCATAAGAGTAGGGATGGCTGAGGATGAAGTGGACGAGCATGTAGGGAGCTGCACGCGAAGAGTATGGAATGGAATGGACGATGTGCAGGAGCAGACAGGGCATGGGCGAGCATGCTGTGCTAACTCACCAGCAGCTGCCCATTCTCCCCGCACAGCACCCGGAAGAAGCTCAGATGCTCCGCCATCCTGCTCCCCCCCGCATGCGCCACCACCGCCGCCAGCGCCGCCGCCGACTTCTCCTCTCCCCTCACAAAGAAAAACCCCGTGCTCATGGTGCTCCTGCCCTCGGCACTATTCGCGGGCTGATCCACATCCGTCACGCTGCTCTGAATGGCCACTGCGTTGGGACCGAACGCTAGCAGGTCCGGGAGAGGGTTGTGGAACCAGACTGTGTCGACGAGCGTGGAGGCTACGTGGTAGCCCAGGCGAACTATGGCTAGTGCTGCTCCGGAGCGCACGTGCATGGAGTGGCGGCGGCGGCAGGTGAGGGAGGTGCAGTGGGGGGAGGGGAGGGGGGTGGAGGAGGGGGAGGAGAGTGGGGTGTCGAGGGATGGGAGGTGGAAGACTGGGAGGGAGTGGAGGTAGGCGAAGGAGAGGATTGGGAGGTCGGTTGCTGCAATGAGGAAGTTGGTGATGTTGAGATGGCGTAGCCTGGGGGATGAGGAGGAGGAAAGGTGGGACGGGATGAGGAGGGGGAGGTGGGTGGGGGAGGAAAGGTGGGACGGGGTGAGGAGGGGGGGGGGAGAGAGGAGAAGCAAGGGAGATTGATCTGATGGTTGTACTGACTAGGCATGACGGTGTGGATAGGAGTGGGGAGGGGATGGGAGAGAGGTTGGGGAGAGCGAGGGCTTAGGATGAGAGGGGCAGAAAGAGGTTCACATCAAAAGTGGTGTGGGAGGGAGGGACTAGAAAACTCCAACATGCCATTCTGGATGACACATGCCCAAAACCCATACCAGCATACGCCCACACGCCCATATGCCTATGCCCATCTGCCCGAGCCCACACCCACACCCACACCCACACCCACACGCACACGCACACCCATGGCTCACATGCAGACGAAGCTGAGCAGCACGTCCTGGTCGCCATCGGACACAGCCACCAGCACCACCATGCCATGCCTGTCCGCCACCACCGGCAGCAGCGCCTGCAGCGCATGCCCCTCCCTCACCGCCACTCCCCTTCCCTCCCCCGCTCCCCCCTCCGCCTCTCCTGCCCCCCCTCCCACAGCAGCAGCAGCTGAGCTCTGGCCTTCACCCCCACTGGAATGAGAGTCAGCGGCAGCGGGAGTGGAATTAGAAGAAGTCGAGAGGTTGGCTGATGCAGCACGGACGGACTCGGAGTGCAAGGCGAGGGCCGAAGGGACGCTGCAGGTGAAGTAGAGGGGGTCCTGGGGGGCGGGTATGCTGTCCAATGCTGTGCGGCCGTGGTAGGGAGCAAGCTCGCAGGGGCAGGCGGCGGGGCGCACGCGGGGGAGCAGGCACACGGATGTAGTCGCTGTTGGGGGGGGGGATTTGAGGGAGGAAAGGGAGGGGGGGGTGATGACTGGTGAAATGATAGGGGGGTGATGGGTGAGGAAGGGTCGAGGTGGGTGAGGAGGAGGGGAGGCAGAGAAGGGAGACGAGAAGGGGTTGGCCAGGGCGGATTACTCGAGAATAATGACATATTGGAGGGAAGAGGAGGGAAAGGGAGATGTGAGTGCATTGTCCAATGGGAGCAAGGAAGTTGAAGAATGAACCCAGAGGGACATGGTTAGTCCAGATGGTTTAAGGGGGCTAGGTTTGTGGGTTTGCAGGGTCATCTTTGTGCTATTTTTGTGCTAACGAGGTGGGAAAACATGGTTATGAGCATCCATGCACGTACATACATGCACATGCACATGCACATGCACACGCACATAAAAGCGCACACATGCACCTTCCGAATGCACATGAGGTTAGCAATCACTCATGCCACTCACTCATGGTATCATGGCACGGCATGGCGGCCCAAGGAAGGTCCATGGGGGAAGGAACCGACACCGAGAACTGCGGAACCTCCTTCTTCTTGCCGCCTGTTGTCTTGCCATCCACACCACCACTGCTGCCACCACCCTCACCACTGCTGGTGCCTCCCTCATCACTGCTGCTGCTGCTGCCAGCGTGGAGTCCCACCCTTCCCTCATCCAGCATCCGCCTCTGCTGCTCCGCACCCTGCTCCTCCAACCGTCTGTTCACCTCACAGTGCCACGCCCCTCCTCCTCCCGCCCACACACCTCTCCCCCCATCCCCTCCCCCCTCCGTTCCCCCCTCCCCCCCCCCGTTTGCGCCAGAATCCGCCTCAACCCCGCCTCGATTACATCCCCCAGCCAGCCACAGTTGACTGTGACTGCGATCCGTGTGCGCTGCACTGCTCACAGGAACAGCGCCCATGACCATAGCTGCTGTCACTGCACTCGTCGCATCCACTGCCACTCTCTGCTTCCCCAACACCAGCTGCCGCAGCAGCCATTGCCAGTGCCCCCCCCGGCCGCACACAAAGGGCGGAATGGGGTCTGCTACGAGGGGTAGGCTGTCAGGCAGCAACTGTCTGCTGGAACTATCACCGCTGCTCCCACTGCTGCTGCTGCTGCTGCTGCTGCTGCTGCTGCTGCTGCTGCTGCTGCTGCTGCTGCTGCTGCTGCTGCTGCTGCTGCTGCTGCTGCTGCTGCTGCTGCTGCTGCTGCTGCTGCTGCTGCTGCTGCTGCTACCGCTGCTGCCCTCTCTGAGAGATCTCCTGCGGCCTCGCCCTTCACCTCGTGCCACATGGTTCCACATCACAAACGCCAGCTCTCCCGAGCCAGACTCCACCACGGAGTTCCGGACCACAAACTCCCGAACCTCAGGCTCGGAGAGCTCCTGGGCGCCTCGGTGCTTCCGGGGCTGGATGTGGTCCGGGAGATGGTCAAAGGCGAAGGGGAGACGGCGGAGGAGCCTGGGAGCTGCAACCAACACCCACCCTCCTCCAGAGGCTGTTAGCTCATGCTTCAGGTTCGGTAGAAGGAGCGAGCTGAACGGTAGTGGTGCACGTGGCTTGTAACTCTGCTTCCTGCTGCTGCTGGTTCTGACATCTTGACTGCTTTCGTGTGTCCGCCGCTCTTGGAACAATTGATGCTCTGACTGTTCTTTTTGTTGCTGCTGCGGTTGCTGCGGTTGTTGTTCTTGCTGCTGCTGCTGCTGGCGTTGCAGCCACAGCTTCACCTCCTCCTCGTCCTCATCATCAAAATCCAAAACGCTCATTGGCCTGTTCTCACCCGCAGATTCGCCCTCTTGCAACCATCGCCTTTGAATCCCACCCGTCCACTCGCTTTCTTTCATTCCCTGTTTCTCCATCCATTTCCTCCTCGCCTCACCGCCTTCCCTTGCCAGCAGTTCTCGCCCTCTGTGCAATGTAGCCCTGGCCAAAACCCCTCCTGCTCGGCCACTGCTTCCAGACAACCTTATCATAGCGCGTGCAGCGTCCATGACATCATTCAAAAGAATCACACGAGAATCCACCACCATAATCACATCCTGCTGCTGCTGTTGCTGCTGCTGCGATCGACTTCCCGACCGTTTCAACTGCTCTTTCCGCCTAGCGCTATTGACAGCACCGATAGCCTCGGCCCTCGCAACCACAGAGCTGAACAGAGGCACGCCGTCGAACGAGCTCTCCACCCGAGGCTCCACGTGCACGTGGTTCGGGAACTGCCGAGCCAGGTTGTGCAGGCTTGGGTGGTCCCCGAGCAGGTAGACCTGCGGGGTGGGGCGCAGTCTAAGCCAGGAGAGGATGGAGCGGCGCACAAGAGTCTCGTTCATGGGTGTGTTTGTCGCCAGCATGTGTGCTGTCGGTGCCGTGAAGATGGAAAGGGACAAGGAGGAAGAGGAGGACGACGAGGGCGACACGGAGGAGAAGGCGGGAGAAGTGGAGGATAGGGAGGGTTTCGACTGGGTGGAGGGTGCTATGTTGGAAGAAATCCTCTTCGATGGTGCTTCTCGTGCTGCTCCTCCTTCTCCTCCTGCTGCTGCCTCTGCAATGAAATCGGATCTTTGCTGTTGCGCGGTCTCATCATGCGATGGAGGAATCCCTTCAGTGGGACCTGCACGGCTAGAAACAACGTCAGCAGCCGCAGAAGCGGCGGCAGCATACGACGCAGAAGCACGATCCGCAGCAGCATGAGCAGCAGCCTTATGAGCCGCCGCAGCCTGGGCCGCCACCGCCGCCGCCGCCGCCGCCGCCGCAGCAGCATCCACACTATCGGCATGCTCGTCAGCCTCAGCCGCTGCTGCTTCTGCCGCCTCCCTCGCCGCGCCACTCTCCCCGCTCTCCAATCCCACCCCCGCCACCGCCGCTGCCACTGCAGCAGCAGCCTCCACGTCCGCAGCCGCTGCCGCTTCCATGGCTGCCGCCACGGCAGCAGGCGTGGGGGTCTTCTGGAAAAGCACGCGCCGCAGCGCGCTACGCTCCCCCTGATGGCTCTGGTGTCGTGACAAGAGACCGTGAGAGTTTTTAAACGCGGATAGGCTGTTAGAAACTGTTGAACCGGGTTGATCCGCGTCGAACTCGATATGGCGGTGATGCGTTGACGTGATCGGGTCGGGAGCTAATGCGTGGTCATGGTGGCGGTTCGTGTGCGCCATAAGCCGCGTCGGATGTGCGATATCATTTTCCGCATCATGCGCTTCAAAATTTCGTCCGCTCGCTTCTTGCTGAGTCACCGCAGCAGCGGCGACTCCGCGGCCGCGATCGTGCGACGCTTCTGCAGTCGACGCGAGATCGGCTGCTTGTCGTACACGTGGAAGCACGAGACTGCGCCAAAACGAGAGCGGCGACCACCGCGTCGGACGCCGCCAATCGCGCTCTACTAATAAGCTTGAGGGGGCAAAAAAGAAGCGGAAAACCCCCCCAGAAACCGCGCCGCTTTCCACGGCCACGGACGAAGAGTCCCTCAATCTGCGGCTCGAGTTCGTGAAACTGAGAGGGAAGGACCCTCGGATTATTAAAGACGGCCCGATCGTAACAGGAAGGTAAGCGGTACTACCAACTTCCCGTTGAATGGCGCGAGAACTTTCATCAGTTTCATCACGTTCGTCTAGGAGAGGATTCGAATGAAAATGGAAGCCTTTCAAGGTTGAGTTTGTGTCGGCGGCATGGAAAACGAGGGACGCGAGGCAGAGGACGAGGAGATAGATGAGCACTGTCGATGGTCGGATAGAGGAGGCGAATGATCGAAGTGAGAAGGGGTTTTCTCGTTTGCACGCCGCGATACGCGCATTCGGAGGGAGGAGGAAAGGAGGCGGTGAAAGGAATGACGTCGGAATGTCACTATTGATGAGGTTGAAAGTGACAACGGGCTGATCAGTCGATCTGGAGATTAGGCTCGCGGAATTGCCCGACGAGGGAGCCATTAATTCTGATTGCTTCATGACGAGATCATGAGCAGGTTCACGTCGTAGAGGACAATTCCTGCTTGAATCAGGCGCCTTCAAGTCACAGGTAGTGAAAATGGGGTAATCGAGTCCGTGCGAACTACGTTTCGCACAGTTAACGGGCAAAACGTCATACTGAGGCGAAGGTCATGGGCGTGCTTCAAGAACAAAACTAAGCACCTGTAAGGAAGAGGCAACGAGGAGAACAAAAGAATGATAATCGAATTGTGAAACTGGAGGCAGTGACGAGACGAGTCGACGACCCGACTTGACCTGATGCCCATCGGGAATTGGAAACTGTTGGAAAAGCCTCGCCTCGTCACGTCACTCCCTTGGGAATGGACCTCTGCGACCTGTCCCCCATCCCCCCTCAAAGCTCGTCCTTTTCCCGCATACTGTACCGTCGGACATCTTCGGCTGCGTTGATTGGTTCTCACCTTGCCCCGACAGCAGGGGGAAAAGAAGCAGGTTTTTGGGCAGGCCATGAAAATAATCTCACTGGCTGAGAAGGGTTGTCTGTGGGGGGAAAGGTGCTGTTGACCAGGGGGCAGGAGAAATCAAAGGTTGTGGCGAAGCGGAAGGGGACCTGCTATTTGGTTTGTGGGGCACAAAAGTTCGCGCGAACCCTGCGTTCGTTCGGTCCCGTCCCGTAGGAGCGGCGCTGTTCTGCGGAGGCTTTGCCGTGCCACCCACCGTTCGCCTGAACCTTTCATGGGTTCTACATTTGCGCGTGTAGTCAGTCTGAAATGTTGTCGTAAACGATCTGTGTTGTTGCTTGTTCATTCCAAGAGGAGCAGCGCATGCACGTACGTATTCACAATTCCCTCTATATTTCTTTCGGGCAGCACAACAAACCTGGCTGTCACAGCACCTCACCAACTCGTTGCCAACCTCTCAAGTGGGAATGAAGCTTGCCAAGAAAACCAGTGCCCTACACTCACAGAATTCCCAGCCACATCGATCGAAGCTGCCTGATTATATTTGCAGGTTCCCGACAAAAAGGTTCCGACTTCTGACATCAACCAAAGCAAAGGAATTGCGGTCCTAGATTTTGTCCAACCGCTGGGAGATCTCCATGTGACAAATTTTACTTGACATAACTTGTGCTTTAGCATGCAGCCGAATCGTACTGTGCAAGCTAACAAGGGCAATACACATCCTTTAGCACATAGTTTTCTATGAGAAACAGGTACTTGCAGTATGTTTGCACAGGGAAATTAGCACCGTCATTGGTGGTCAAAATCACTGTCAGGTTATCGAGGACACGTCAGGTAAAAGGTTGGCAGAGAGCTCATCTCTCCTTATCATATTACGATAAGCAGAGTACACATCTGACATGTCCAGTGTGGCTCACCGCCCGAGGTGAGTCTTGATCCGAGCCTAACCTCCCAGACCAAAACACCTGATTCCCCTATCGTTTGGTTTGGTCTAGTACAGCTTTGCTCTACTTTGTGGGAACCTCAACAATGCGTGCGGACCTGGGTGAAATGAAACGAGCTGTAAAAATTAACCAGTCACTCGTTTTAGCTCTCATTACGTCAGATTGCGGAACCTCTCCTCAGGGCTACGTCAGGTTGCATATTTTCCTCAGGGATATTACACACAGCGGAACGTTTTTTCCAAGCTTTATTGCTTAGCACCATGACGAAGTTGATTGCATTGAAAGTACAAAAGCTGTGCAATCTGGAGTCGCCCTAACATATGGGATACTTCACTCATGTGCGGACTGCCATAAGTGCACCGTAGTTCATTTCAAAAACCTCTAATACCTACCAAGTCTGCAGATAATTTTAACATCTGCTGGTTTGTGCGGGTGTATCATCTGCTACTGTTGTCAGCTCTGGACTGGAAGGCACTTGCTTTTGTCACTGCATTCTGTTCTGTGACCGAGCTTTGCTAGCACAAGGTGCAGTTGCATGACAAATTATGAATAAAACAGAAGAAGACTGCATGCGTGCACCCCAAATCCACCCACCCCAGTGAGACGAGCAATGCCGCATACCGTAAACCATACACACCATCATGTTACAAGCCCACCGAACATAACCACCTCACACACCACAACCAACGGTAGCCAGGTCCCCCACAGGCACAGGGGCATCAGGCCGGCACTTTTGGGGCATGAAGACCCTCCCAGGGCGCATGGAGTACATGACAGCAGAGCGGGAGAAGCCCGACTCAGGGATGACTAAGAGGTCGGACGAGGCGAGGAGCAGCCACTCGGCAACTGTCTCCTGGTACCATGAAGGGGCTGCTGTGTGCGACGTGTTGTCCTTGCTGATTGCCACGTGCCGTGGGACAAACTCTGTTATCACCACCTGGTAGGGAGGAGAAGGTGGGTAATGGGGGAGGGGAGAGAGGAGGGGTGTGGAGAGAGGATGGGTGGGGGGGAGAGAGGAGAGGTTTGGAAAAAAGCTGGGGTGAGAGGAGGTGAAGGTCAGCTGCCTGCCTGCGAGAGGCATGGAGGCAGCATGGTGACCTGCAGAGAGGGCTGGGAGAAGAGAGGTCTAGGAGAAAGAAAGAAGGAAGATGGAAATCAACTCTGTAAGACTAGTGAGACATGAGCTACGGGAAACGAGGAGTGGTAACCAATAGCAGAATGGTGAATTGCGAAGAGACATAGTAGGGTAAGAGGAGTACCTTGTCAGGGAACTTGTCGCGCACGGCTACTTTGAGCTGCGCGGAGTTGCAGATGAAGAACCACTTGATCTTGAGCGACGAGGGGCTCCACCACCGCTCCAACTCCTGATGGCACCATGCACCACATGCACCATGCACCGCATGCACCATGCACCATGCACCGCATGCAGCATGCATCATGGAACACACGAGCAACACCAGGACAGACAGCATCCCACATTTCGCATTCAGAAGCAGCAAACATTGTACAGCATACAGCCCACAACAAAATGACAGAGAAGGTTAGAGGAGGGAGAGAAACACATGAACCGGGAAGGACTGAATAACCTTGGAAACTTACATGGCATCTGGAGACGACATATTCCGAGGCTTGGGGGGAAAGCGAGAGTGCGGCATGGTGAAATTGATTAATCCCATGACACAAAGCAAAGACGATCACCATCGAGACTACACGGCCAATGGTGGAGAGGCAAGGGAAGCACAGCAGGCTGTGCAGACCTAGAAGGACTGACCGGGAAATCCCACGGGGCACCGTACAAGGGCAGACCGAGGCAGACTGAGGCAGACCGAGGCAGAGTGAGAACAGTGACCACAGTGTTGGAACAAGAGGTTCGCTGCTCCCCCCTTCCTCTCACCCCCTCCCTCCTCCCCCCCTCCCTCTCTCTCGACCCCTCCCTGCCCCCCTCCTCTCAAACCCTCCCTGCCCAACTCCTTGCACCCCATCCGTGCACCTCCCACTCACCCCCTACCTGTTCCCCAATCTCAACCCCTCCCTGTTCCCTTTCCCACCCCTCCCTGCCCATCCCCCCTCACCCCCACCCTGCCCCCCCTGCCAACCACACCCTGCCCCTCCCTCTCACCCACTCCGCCGTGTTGAGCACCTTGGGAACCACGTCCGTCCTTGCCGGCGTGCCGTGCTCCCAGCCTATGCCAAACCTTACACGCCTGTGGATGCCAATGCTAATGCTCTTCGCTGCACGCACCTGCCTGGGTAAGTCTCATCCTCTCTCTGCTCCCCCTCTCATCCCCTCTGTCTCCCCTCTTGTCATCCCCTCCCTCGTTCCCCCTCTCATCCCCTCCCTGCTGCCCCTCCCCCCAACCCCCCCTTCCCCCCCCACCTCTCCTCCTCCCCCTCACCTCCGCGCATTGGAAAGACAGCTTGTTCTGCACGTAAAGCTCCTCCACCTCAGCGGCGTTGAGCACCTTGGGAACTCCGTCCTTGGTGGAGTGCTCCCACACCTTGAGGTCCTTCACGCGCGTGTGGATGCCGATGCTCAGCCCGTGCGCCACGTGCACCTGCCCCGCTATGTCCCTCATTAGTTGCCATACCTCCGGCTTCGGCCTGCGGTCAGGGATGGGGGTGGGAGGGGGAGGGTTTGATCCGAGGTGCAAACGAGGAAGATAGGAGCACACGACGGGGTGGGAAGTGAGGGGTGAGAAGCAGCGGGAGAGAAAGGCGGTGGGGAGGGAAGTGAAGTGGATGGGGGGAGGGGGAGGGGGAGGGGGAGAGAGGAGAAGTGCCAGAGGGAGAGGTGAGAAACAAGTGGGAGAAGAATGCAACAAACCCTGCTCGGAACCAAATGCAAAACACTGTAAATACAATACCTGGCTTCCTTCCACTCCCACCACTTCCCGTCTCCACCACACCAGCCCTGCTTCTCCCCATCCCACCTTCCCACCCTCCCACCCCCACCAAAAAGAGCAACAACAACCCACCGCAGCAGGAACCGCATGACACACGCGAAGGCATACGGCGGCGTCATCCCAATCGCCTTGAACCTCTCCGCCCACGCGCCCTTGGCCTTGGTCAGCAAATTGAACAAAATCCCTCTATTCCACACGAGCCCAATATGCGCGATCCCTTTCAGCTTCCCGAAATACTCCTCCGGGTCGACGTTCTTATTGTAGAGGCTAAGCCGCGCGTACGACGCGTTGGGGGGCTTATCCGGGTCCATGATCTGCGGCGAGTAGGTGGACAGCGGGATGTCCTCTGTCACGCGCCAGTCGAACGTCGCCGGCTCGAACGCGTACGGCAGCCACTCCTGCCGCATGAGGAATGCGCGGTCGTCGAGTAGGGCTACGGCGAACGTGGACGCGAGCCCGAAGACCGTGTCTCCGAAGCCGTCGTGGCCCGAATCGAAGATCAGCGTGCGGCATTGCGACGGTGAGGAGGTTGCGGCGGCGGGCGGGGCGCCGGGGGTGGCGGGGGAGGCGGGGGAAGCGGGGGAAGCGGAAGGGGGAGCAGCGGCGGGAGGGGCAGCTGTGGCAGAGGAACCTGCGGCAGTGCCTGCGGCAGCGGCAGAGGCGGCGGCTTCGTCCTTGCAGGCGGCGCGGACGCGGTCGTTAATCGCCATGTAGGTCTCGCGCAGCGACCCGCAGAGGTGGTCCGGGAAGGCGAAGTCGAACGGACTCGGGATGCCTGGTCCTGTGTCCGATGAGTGTGTCTGTCTCACCGGCGCACGCGCGGCCATGCGGAAGACGGGAACGATGGAGGAAGGGGCATGCGGAGGAGAGGAGGGCGGGGGAAAGGGGGAAGGTGATGGGTGAAGGCGAAGTCGAACGGATTCGGGATGCCTGGTCCCGTGTCCGATGAGTGTGTCTGTCTCACCGGCGCATGCGGCCGCGCGACAGACACGGACGGGAACGAGGAGAAGGGGGCGTGGGGATAGAAGGAGGGTCGGGGAAAGGGGGAAGTGGATGGGGGAGATGGCGAGGGGCAGAGTGATTGAGTGGATTTCTTTGAGATCGAAGCGCGGTCTAGTTCCCGAATTCGGAGGTGAGATAAGCAAGAAGGACGACGGGAAGCGATCAGCGAGAGCAAGGAGGGCACAACGGGGGGAGGGGCTTGGAGGAACAGAGTAACGGGTTCGGCCGTGGGAACGAGACGACAGTCATCTGCTTCTTTTCGCGCACGCGTAAATCGCGGGTATGCTGATCGAAGCGGCGCCACTCACATGCGCACGAATGACGACGCGAGTGACGGAGAGCCATACGACCAGCGCGATTGCTATTCTCCTAACGCCGAGGACTGGCAGCCACCGCGAATGCATGATGGCGCCGCGAAGCCTCGGCTGATTGTGAGAGATTGAGAGTGGACTGCAGCGCCGTGACTGGCGGCGGAGCGACGGCAGCAGCTGCAGCAGCGGACGGTGCCGAAGGCGGGAGGAGGCTTATAAGTTACAGTTCCGCATGTGAAGGTGTTGAAACGAAACGTAACACCTTGACGATTTGCAGATCAGATACGATTCGGAGCTACGAGGAGGCAAAGGTAACACCACACCAGGATGTTTAGACCCTGTGGTTGGTAACATCATATTATAAGCAAGAGAGCGAGGATCTGGCGACCATCCCCGCAAACAACGGGCAAGGTGCAGCGCAAAGATCGGTGAGTAAGCGTGAGGTGATTGATGGCGGTGAAATCAAATGGCGACTGGAAAAAAATATATCTGTTGCGGTTGAAATGGGCTGGCGAGGACCGAGCGAGATACCTACCTAGGGAGTATCTCTGCAATGTACATCAGGAATGTTCCTTTTTATATGTACACCGCCAGGGAGTTGCTAATATGTAACGCTCAACATGTGAACATCCATCAAATGTCACCAAGATTCTACAAAAATTATCACATTTATGTAAGATCAGATCTGGCAATGTCCAGGCTAACAGTCCATATTCTCGACACTGACTACACCAATAGATGCAGCTTGAGTTCCTCTATAGGCAGACCTACAAATTGTATCCATAATGCGGGTATCCTTCATGCTTATCGTGTACCGGGCAAATGGTCTTTGTCAGCCCTAGGTTCTGTCAGGCTGCCGCTTAGTAGCTCGCCACGTCGTCCAAAGGTGTTTCTTACGAGCCATACCCTGTCTCAGAGTTTCCATTGCGCGTGCTGTCATCTTCCCATTGGGCATGAGGCAGTGTGGTCTCCTAAGCTTAGCCAGACGAAATCTACTCTCATTGCATGTTCAAGTCACAGTCATGGAAAATGGTCCTCATGGTGCCTTCAAGCTCAGGCAATACCTTGGGAATGGAAGTCGCGGAAGAAGCTGGCGGGAGGAGGTGAGTGAAGATGGTGGGGGAGAGGGGGGGGGAGGGATGCCACCCTTGCCATGCTCAAGGGAGGGGAGCTGTGTACCAAGGATTATGTCTCTCGCCGCCTGCCCCAGACACGATCGGCCTTTTAGAGTGGGGGGAGCGGGCTGCACAGGCTGCACAGGCAGCTTGTGACAGCTCAACGCTTGCTAGTTGCCTCTACGTAGTAGCAATCACAATGTCATGCCTTCCCTTTGTTCTACTTGTGTTTTCATTCCTCAGGCCCTTGATCCTGGCAAAGCATGTGAGAAGGGCGGGTCGCCGTGCCAGCCAGCCACGGTGCATCATGAGCAAGGCGCATGTTGCATGTCTACCCTTGCTGTGCTGCCTGCTTCTTGCCCCACACCGCATGTCCGTCCCCACGCGTGGCTGCGGCTGCTCACACGTGCTGGAGCAGAGGCCCGGATGGGCTGCCAGCCAGCACTGCCCTCAGCACCACCACCAGATGCCGATTCACGCCCAACAAGGCCCGCGTGATGGCGAGCGAGCAGCAGCGAGGGAGGGCCGCGCCTAGATGCCGCTCCAGGAGCCGCGGAAGCCAGCGACGGCAGTGGGGTGCTCGGGGTCGCAGGTGTCGGGCGGGGGCATGAAGATGTCGAGGGGGCGCAGCCCGTACAGCGCAGCGGTGCGAGAGAAGCCCGACGCGGGGATGATGAAGGAGTGGCACGCCGCTATCAGCGCCCACTCCGCCACCGTCTCCCGGAAGTGCTGCAGCCCGCGCAGCGCCGCGTCGTGCTCCTTGGACGTGGCGAGGTCTATCGAGTGGTCCGAGTGCCACGGCACAAACTCCGTTGTCACCACCTGCCCTCGCCCACGCCACACACATGTGCCCCACCATGGCACGTGGCACGCATGCAGTGCGGCACACGCACAGAGGGGAGGTGCGGCACATGCAGGGAATGGGGGTGTGCGGTGGGGCAAGAGGGCGTGAGGAATGAGAGTGGGGTGAATGGAAAGGAGCACAGGCGGAGCGTGAAGGGCATGGATGGAAGGAGAAACGGCAAGGCAGATGGAGGGATTGGGTGGAGAGGGGGTGGAGCATGATTGCAGGCGGGTGCACACCTTCTCCGGGTACTTGGCCTTGAGCGCTTGCTTGAGTGACTTTTGAGGTGCATACCTTATCTGGGTACTTGGCCTTGAGCGCTTGCTTGAGTGGGTGCGAGTTGGTGATGATTATCCACTTCACTTTCAGGGGAGGGGGGTACCAGTAATTCTCCACCGCCTGCCATGGGGATGGGGAGAGAAACAGGGCGCGAACACAATGACATCCTCAGTGCAGACACATAGAAGCTCAGGTATACGTGTGCTTGAAAACCCGCCACTGCCACCTCCTGCCCCCTACCCTACGAGCACTCACCCACACGAACGTACCAACGCACTGGATGGACACCTTGCCGGGCAACAGGACACCCCATCCCCGTGCATGGCACAGCACAGCACATGCAAACCGCACGCACGCTCACTACCTCCCTGGGCAGCACCTGAGCGCAGTGCAGTGTGGTGTTGGCCGTGGCGAGCAGGTGGTCCAGCTGCTGCTGCGTCATGTTCAGCGGCGTGCCCTCGCCCTCCCACACCTCACGGTCTGGCACACGCACGTGCACCGCCACGCGCACCACGCCCTTGCCCCACACCTGCTCCTCCAACCCTGCCACCAGCTGCCACACCTCGGGCCGTGGACTGGGGGGAAAGGAAGAGGTGGCGAAGGGATAGCGATGAGTTCACAGAGACATTCATACAGCATCCATATCCCACCATGCATCAACGCCTGTGGCGTGGGGCGCACGGCACAGCCAGCGCACGGGCTTACACTCAACGTTTCAACCCAGTGGTCTAGTGCGCATAAAAAAATCACAACGGCCCAATCACATACGTTCCAAATTTCCAGGTTGACACAAGCTCGTTCTTGACGCAAAGCCAGGAATGCACCGTAAAGCAAGAGTGTGACGCGGGGCATGAGAGAGAGGCGGACCGGAAGAGGAATCGGAGGATGCACCCGAAGCCGTAAGCCACCTTGAACCCCAGCTGCCGCAGTGCGCTGGCCCACGGGCCCTGGTCCAGCATGATCGTAAAGATGAGCAACCCCTTGTTGTACCGCATGCGGTAATTGGTGAGCGCGCTCAGCTGCTGCAGCTCATCAATGCCGAAGGTGTGCCCCACCATGTTCAAGCACGGCACGCCGCTGCTGCCCCTCGCCGCCGCGCTCAGGTTGCTCTCCTGCCGCTCGCACGGCGGCGCGTGCCACTCCACGCGCTCGTCGCCCTCTTGCGCGTCCATGGGCGCGGCGCGCAGCAGCGGCTGTCCCCCCATGGGCACGTCGGGGGAGAGCGCGGTGTCGATGTATGGCGAGTTGAAGGCGGCGTGCATGCAGGGCTGTGCGATGAGCAGCGCGCGGCGGTCCAGCAGCGCGGCGGGGAAGACGGAAACGAGCCCGATCAGGTAGTCACCCAGCCCGCCGCACGTGCCGTACCAGTCGTACGTCAGGAACCGCACCGCGGGCGCCGCCTCGCCGGGGGGAGAGTCGTCCGCCAGGCGCCTGCGCGACGGCGCGGCGGGCTGTGGCGGCGGCGCGACGGGTGGCGGCGGGGCAGCTGCAAAAGAGGAACGGGGAGCAGACGGGGGAACCGTGTAACTTTTTACTCGCACTCGCCGGTTGGCAACCGCTCGGCCATTTCTCGCGCGAATTGCTCTCACCCAGCCGCGTAATCACGCGCTCCGCCCACCGTCCGACGCCACTTGTAGTACCTGGTGGCTGGCGCGCGCTCCACGCGTCTCGGCTGGCGGCTCTGATACGCGCGTGTAGGCGCACGTACTCGTCGCGCCACGGCGCCCCGCACACGTGCTCCGGGTACTCGAACCCCGCCAGCATCGACCCCGGGTGCGACGCCCCGCTTTGCTGCTGCGCGCTGCACGCCTGCGCGCGGAAAGGGCAGGAAATGGAGAGAAATGGCGCTGGGGAGTGGCGACTGAGAGGGAAGGGAACGAGCGGCGCGGCTGTGAATTTGCGACGCTTGGGGCTCGGGGGGTACTAGAAATGTGGTTTTCTGCGGAGGAAGAAGGAGAATCTGGCAAGGGATGGCTTTTTTTGAGACGGGACCGATGCTTACAGCGAGGCATGCTGCGACGAGGACTCCAAGACCGAAGCGATGAGCTGCACGAAGAGAGCGGCGAGTGCGGCAGCGGCGGCAAGTGTGGTGTGGGCAATGGATGAGTAGTACTAGGACCATGGCCTTCATTCTTAGTGGAAGAAGAAGTGCCTGAATCATGCGTGTATGACGGCTATCCGTTGCGGTTTATTGTTTGAGTACTTCGTGAGGCTGCGGCCGGCGGGCTTCAGCTGTGAAGTAGAAGCTGTTTTGTGTCTGAGAAGCTGCCGTCCTTTTGTCACGGGGAATTGGGTTCATCACATTTCTACCTGCCTTCGGAAATTCCAACCAATTTCAGTCACAGCAGTGTGTGCTTTCGAACCAGAATCGACAATGAGAGGCGTGGGTATGGACGGAATTGAGGCCGAGCCGCGTCGAGAATGTGACGGAATTCAGCGTTTTCCGACGGAAACGTTTTCTCGTGATACAAGCTGAGGACGCGTTACATGTGAAATTGTTATGAATGAACTTGCATAGTGCGCAGTAAAACGAATAACTAGAATGATTGAACTACTAAATGACGACACAATGAGAATGGCACGACTAAATAGGGGAAAAGCTAGCAAATGTACAAGAAACAGTGGTCTGACGAATATCTGTGGCCTTTTCTGAATCAGACAAGAGCAGGTTTCCCGTCGATGAAGTGCACGGCCTGCATTCAGCACAGTAGTGTGGGCACGAACTTCGACCACAAAGGAGAAGGGGCGACCGATGTGCAGACCCATGCTTTACGGAAGCACCAGCACACAAGGAAGCACCACCGAGCTCTGCGCAAATAGAAGACAATTGAGGCAGCACTCAAGGCAAATCGCCGGATCGACGACAACCCGAAGGCGAAGGACCTTGAGAAGGAGCGCCTGATCGCGCTACTTGAGACCATGCTCTTTGTAGCCAAATCAGATGCCCCGATCGAGATGTGGGTTGATCTTGTCCGACATCTGGCGCAGCGTGGCACACCGGGCTTCCCAAAGAACGGATATGGTGCCCATTGCACGATGTGAGTAACATAGCTTAAGTTCATGTCGGTACAGAGATTGAACTATTTGATGCTATAACTAACCATATCTTCTTACGCCAGTGCAGGTACGGTTTCGAAGAGCTAACCGCCGCAACAACAACATACCTTCGTTCGCGCCAGAAAGAGTACATTAACTCGAGTTCGTATATTGGTCTGAGCTGCGACAAGAGCACATACTGCATCAGAGGGAAGCACATGATTGTATTTGTAACATTTTCTTCGTGAACATGCAGTTGTTACTAAGCTTCTAGCGAACCTTTCTAATTGAGAAGTGTGATGCAGCATCTCTTCATGCAGTGCTCAAAGGATTTCTAGACAATATAAGCCTACCGCCGGAGAAGGTGGCGGGCATCAGCACCGATGGGGTTCCAGTTATGATTGGCAACGACACTGGCCTTGTTGAGCGTCTTCGGTTGCAGATCTCACATGTGGTGGCCAATCACTGCGTCGCGCACATGTATGCTGATTTACGTATCGTTGCTGTTTGATGTGTGAAAGTGTTGATACTAACCAACCGACTGTTCTATTGTCCCCTTGGCAGGGAGGCGCCAGCTGCAAGGGATGAGGCTAGGGCACTACCAGAGCTTGGCATGATCGACGCTGTCATCCGCTCTGTGGTGGAAGATCTCGGCAAATCGAACAACTCTCACCTCAAATTCAAGGAGCTGCTGGATATCTTCACGAAGACAAACTTAGAGGTCCAGGGGATCCATGCCGTCCGCAAGACATGGAGTGGGAGAAAGTGGTGGACATCTGGAGGAGCACCAAGAAAAGGCGCCCCAACAAGCGCAAGGAGCAAGGAGCGCCAGAGAGAGAACGGGCCAAATGTGGAGTGGCCACCGAGTGGTGCAGGAGGAGGAGCTAGACGAGAGCACGCACGGTTATGCTGGCGATGATAGTGAGAGTGATGATGATGGTAGTAGCCGTAGTGAGAGCGATTCTGATGATGATGACATGCAGTCTGTACAGATCTAGTCCTTTCATAATGAGAACGTGAATAATTATGCACTGTTGCTTCAGCTTTATTTTTACATTGATGGTTCAGTTTACTAGGGATTTTCACACTAACAAAATCAGTACAAACAAAACCATGAATGTTGATGTGGACATCAGGTTGGCCGGGCCACGCTGATCCATCAGCATGCCTTCAAACCAATCTGAGGGCCTGATGGGGGCGAAAACGAAATGGTATGAAGGCCCGAGGATCTTAGCTAAGGGTACATTCCTACCTTGACACTTGTGTCTCAATGGCTGGTTTCCCGAGTCGCGCCTGTAAATTTGCCCATCTACGCGTCACAAAGAAATGGATGTACTGCGACATCGAGCGACTCAGAGTGTTGTACACCTGTCGACTTTCCGTTGGGTCCACACCTTTTGATTCGAGCGCTCTCATTTTGGCGCCGGACAGGCAGGTTAAACCAGGTGTTCCAAATTATGATGGGGCGAGTTGGCGAAACCACCAACCAACACAGAGCCACAATGCAAATAGAACTACAACTACAAGCACAAAAACGCATTGCATGCACAGCAGGGCCCCCACTCAAATCATCCATGGCAGACGCCAGGGCCGTTCCCTTCCTCATGCGACTCCTAGTCGCATGGATCTCGTTCTACTACGGCATCTTCTTGGACGCGGTCGCCAAGGGGGTAGCCGGCTTGCTGGAGTCGCAAGTCTTCGACGACGAGAACTCGTCTACCGCGACCTCTCACAGCTCTACCAGGTTCGCCGAGCGTGCAAAAAGAGGCAGCTTGAGGCTCCGGCATTACGCGCTGCTACTCGAGGACCTGCAGGGAATGGGAGACGAGGAGTTTAGGGACATTTACCGAAGGCGATTCTTGACTACGTGGTTGAGGGCATGAAGTACTACATGCAGCCGTATGTGGACCGTTACTACATTACCCACGAACCTTGTGCCGATCCAGTACCTGGCGAGTGCACCCTCGTACATAGACCTTTCTCGCCTATTCGGGTTGTCGAAGACATTGTGCCATGAGCTCGTCGATGTGTGGCTGATGCATTTCGCCACGGTCTTCAAACAACAGTGGGTACACTTCCCCACCCGCGACGACCTTGACGAAATGGCCGAAGAGTTTCGCGCCGTGAAAGGGGTACCTGCGGTAGTGGGGGCTATTGATGGGACACACGCACACATAAAGGGGATGGAGGGGCACAGACAAGAGTACTACACACGAAAGTCCGCATACGTCGTGCAGTTGCGGGTGACGTGTGATGCGCGCGGCATCATCTGGGACTTCCTTATCGGATACCCTGGTAGCGCACACGATCAACGCGTGTTCATGGACAGTGCGTTACAAGAGAGGTTGCAAAACGGCGACATTGCGTCGTATCAAATAGTCGGTGATGCAGCCTACCCCCTTCGGGATATCTGCCTAACCCCCCTGCATGCACCCCGTGAAGGCCTAATGGAGGATTGGGAGCAGTGCTTCAACTACTGCCAGAGCGCGACGCGCATGGCAGTGGAGCGCTGCATCGGCGCCTTCAAAGGCAGGTGGAGGCTCTTCGCAGGCCGCAATGACTGCACGCTGTGGCGCGTCCTTGTAGGGGCGTCTTGTTGTGTAGTCCTACACAACATGTGTGAGACGATGGGGGACGTGAGGCGTGTCAATGAGGGATGGGCAAACTTGCCACGGAACCGGGATCCGAGGTGGACCCGCGGCGCAGCAGCAGAATTCAAGTGGGAGCCGACCGTGCCGTGCAACCAGGAGACTCTCCGTGAAAGGCGGAAGAGGCTCGGTGAAGCGTTGGAGTCTCCTACCTTACTCGGCGTCGCCGCGAACCCACACTTCCTCGGCCTCGTCCGGAGTAGCTTCGCCACCACCGTGATCACCGCGGCGGAACCAGACTTTGTCGTCGCCTTCCGCGGCGGCCGGTGCGGGCTGTGTGGCCGCATCCGCGGGGGCTCCGTTGACGGTTGGTGGCGGAGGGGCCGGCCACTGGTTGCGGGCGCGGGCAATCTCGACGTCCTGCTGCATCCAGGCGCGGACGAGCCCCTCCAGCTTTGCCATCGCATCCGCGTGGCACTCCTTGATGGTGTCGGAGACAAGCTTGGCCGCGACCATGGTAGCCGTCTCCGCTACTCACGGGCGCTTGGAGGGAGGCGTCACCGGAGGGGGGGCTGCACGTTCACAAGTTAAAGGAGGCCCGGATGAGTTGGCCGTGTTGTTGTGCCGTGTGACGCCAAGGTTTAATGACAGTCATGTAGCAAATCTTTGCGTACTTTCAAACCAAGCGAACTCGAACAAAGCACTAGAAAATGGCTAACCCGTGAACGTCGGCGTTGAGGTGCATGGCACGGACGTCAATGTCACCGCGAACCCGCACGGCGCATTCACGTGTGTGGCACCACCGGCGGCGACGTCGTGCGGCGCCGCGACTGCACGGTTATTCTGAAATAACACCATGTACGGCCACCACGGCGGCTTACACACCACCCCGTTGCCGGACGCCTTGTCCGCCTTTTGCAACTGCTTGTACATTTGGACGAGGTAGCGCCACTGTTTCTGCACGGCGTTGATGCCGCGGACCCATCCGGTATTCTCGGTCTCGATGTGGCGCACGAGGCGGGCCCAATACTGGGATCCCTGCTTCCCCAGTAGCGGCTCCAGCTCATCCTTCATGAACCAGCGGGCGGCCACGAGAATCGTGCTCTCCGTGGGCGACCACACACTGCGCTTCACCGGCATGGGGTCCCGGGTCTTTGGCGCGTGTCGAGGTGGCTCCTCGCCCTTAGCGGCGCTCTTGTCTCCCGGTGCCGCCTTAGCATGACCGCGGCGAACAGGCGGAGTTGCGGGCTGCGATTCTTCCGGTGCGTCGTCGTCATCGCTCTCCGCGTCGGAGTCGGACATGCCCTTGTCAGGCTCTTCTCCAGAGTCCGCTTCGTCGTCCGTTCCGTCTGCCTCCTCATTGTAGTCGGCATCGTCCTCGTCCTCGTCGTACGTGTTAGCCTCGGGACTGCGCGAAGAAGCCACACGGTCGACGTTACGGCGCCCGCGCGTCGGGACGTTTCGTGGGGTCTGGTAAGAGGTGTCGCCACGCGAAGGAGTGTCCACTGGCTGCGGGCCAGACGGCTTGCGCCCAGCGGACAGCTGCTTGTTCATCCAAGCAATATACGGGATCTCATTGAGATCCCGCGGGGTCACGTTGGCGGATTCAGCGGCGCTCTTGCGCTTACGGGCCATGGCGTAGAGAGGGCTATTGAGCTTGCGGGTCACAGATACAAGAAACACAGAATGGACTACCAAGAAGATGGGATTGAAGTCATCCTTGGAGCAGGTTGGAGAGGTGGCTCTAGATCTGTGGTGGTTTCGTCGGGCAGCCTTGCGTGTAACACATGCGAGAAAACCCCTTTCGATGCTGCCCAGGAAAGGCGGGTTTGTTTTTCGCGCTAAACTGTCAAGTGGTCCAGCGTCCACGTGTCAAACATATGTTATATTGTTTATATCTAGGCTGTAGTGGGTTAGATACTAGAGGGTATAGGGTTGTTTCTTGTACGTCTCGAACTTCTCCTAGTGCAACTTTTCTCTCGACTCTCACATGGTATAGAGCTTAGGTTCCTACCACGGGCCCACCTTTTCTAGACCTTTTTTTACCTGCCCGAGGTGTCAAACATTGCATGTTTATATTATGTAGGCTGTAGTGGGTTACACCTTAGGGGGTACTCAAAGTTAGGGTTTCCTACTTGTACCAAACTCTGTGCTAGTTCATTCCATTCCTGCTCAGTTATTTCTGACATGGTATCAGAGCAGGTCCTTCGCTAGGACTGTTCTTAGGGCCCACCGACTTACCTACCTGCTTACCTTCACTTGTTTCCGGCCCCGCTGGCCCCGTCGATCTAGCACGATCTAGCGGCCCTGCGGCCCCGTCGAACTTTTTTTTTTTTTTTAGCGGCCTCTCACGGCCCCCGTCGCGTCGCCCCTTAGCGCCCCGATCGGCCCCGTCACGCCGCCCGCGAACCGCACAGCGCGCCGCGCTCACAGCCCGCGAACCGCCCACGCACAGCCCGCGAACCGCCTGCGCAGCCCGCGACCAGCCCGCGCAGCCCGCACACAGCCCGCGAACTGCCCGCGAGCAGCCCGCGACCTGCCCGCGAACCCCCGCGAGCCGCCCGCGACCCGCTTACGCAGCCCGCGAGCAGCCCGCGCAGCCCGCGCTGAGCCTGCGCGGCTCGTGCGCTGACCGCCGCCGGCCCGCACGCTGCCCGCACAGCTCACATACGGCCCGCGCGGCCCGCGCACTGCCTGCTACCGGCCCGCCGCTGCTGAGCCCGCAGCCGCCCGCGCACCGCCGCTGCTGAGCCCGCCGCTGCCCGCGTATCACCGCTGCTGAGCCCGCCCCTGCTGCGCCGGCTCTCGCTGCCGCCTGCTGCGCCTGTGCACCACTGCAGATCCTGCTACTACACTTCCTGCTACTGCTGCTTGTGCGCCACTACAGTCTGTAGGCCCCACCGGCCCCGCTGACCCTGCGCACGCCTTTTCAGTGACTTTACTGCTTCTACTACTGCCGCTGTCGCTATGGCTAGTCCTCCTGTTCTAGCTTTCGACGCCGAGGGCCGTCCGGTCAAATTCGAAACCTGGCTAGATGACCTGCACCTTTTCCTACAGCTCACTGCCAAGGAAGATATTACTCTGTACGACCACGCTCTCGGCCATGCGACCGCCCCACTCACTACTGCCCCCCCAGCTGAGCGCTCACAGTGGCAGACCCGTGACGCGCACGCTCGCTTTGCTATTCGCAACTCCCTGCCACTAGATGAGCGCGAGCACTTCGGCCAGTGCAAGACTGCTAAGGACCTCTACACAGCTGTAGTGGCCCGCTACTCCTCACCCGCTTCTGCCACGCTAGGCCGCCTCACTCTCCCCTACCTGTTCCCCGACCTAGCCTCCTTTCACACTGTCGCAGACCTCATCACCCACCTTAAGACTAGTGAGGCTCGCTTTCGCGCTGCCATGCCTGACGAGTTCCTCGCTAGCAACCCCCCCCCGCTCTGGATCACTCTCTACCACGTTGTCACCCGCCTCCCTGACTCTCTGCGCCCTGTCAGGGACCAGTTCCTCTCTCGCTCCCCCACTGAACTCACCGTAGACCTCCTCGAGAAGGAACTGCTTGCAGCCGAGGCTAGTATCGTCGCTGTAGGCACCTCTCGTGGCGACCCCCGCGGCCCCTTCTTCGAGGGGTGCTCCCCTTCCCCCCTCCTCCCCTCTGTCGCCTCTGCTGCTGCTGTCGACCTCCTTGGTGCTGAGAAGGTCGGGGCTGCGTCTGCTTCAGGCGGACGACGCAGGGGCAGGAGTGGCAGGAGTGGGGGTGGTGGCGGAGGAGGCGGGAGTGGAGGTGGTGGCGGTGGAGGTGCGACTGGAGAGGCTAGTGGCGGCAGTGGTGGAGGTGACAGCGGCGGTGGGAGTGGTGACAGGGGCGGAGGTGGCATCGGAGGCGGAGGTGGTCGTGGCAGCGGCAGGGGTGGAGGTGGCCGGGGCGGAGGCGGCGGGGGTGGTGGTCGTGGAGGCCCGGGGGGCGGTCAGAGTCAGCAGCCTGCCCCGACCCTTCAGGCCGCCCGTGAGTGGTATGCGCGGCGCAGCGTCACCTGCCAGTACGTTATTCGCACAGGTGACCGCACTGGCCAGACGTGTGGGGGGCCGCACCAGACGGAGCGCTGCTTCGCCCGCCTCAACGACGCGTGGCGCACCCAGTTTCCTGGTGGGGGTGAGCTGCCGCGCTGGGCTGAGCTGCTCAGGAAGGGTGTTGATATTTGGGCACTAGACTTTGATGCTATCCTCACTGCCATGTATGCGATGTCTATTAGTGGAGAGGGTGCTCAGTACTTGCGTGTTCCGCCCGACCCGGGCATTCAGGCCAGCCCCGCTGCTGCTCTAGGTGCTAGTGTGTCTGCTTCCACAGGTACTACTGCAGCTGCTGCTCTAGGTGCTTGTGCGTCTGTGCCCCCTGGTACTGAGTCGACTGCAGCACTGCACACCTTCACACTGGACTCAGGTGCTTCTCGCTCTTTCTTTCGTGACCGCACTGTCCTTGAGCCTCTAGCTCGGCCGGTTGCTGTCTCTCTTGCTGACCCCTCTGGGGGTCCGGTCCTTGCGACCTCCTCCACCACCCTTCCGTGTCCAGCGGTTCCGTCCGGCACGCTTTCAGGTCTCTACCTCCCCTCGTTCTCCACGAACCTGGTGGCAGGTAGTGCGCTCCAGGACGGGGGTGTTCACCAGTTTACCCCTGCCTACGAGCGTGTGACTCACTGCACGTGTGCTCGGACGGGCCGCCACCTAGCTACTTTCACTCGAGAGCCGGGGTCTGACCTGTACACACTGACCACTGAGTCCCCTCAGGTAGCTGCGTCTGCGTCAGCGTCAGGTCAGCTGTCCGCCCCCTGCTCGTGTCGCTCTCTGGCGAACGACACCGTCCTCTGGCACCACCGCCTTGGTCACCCGTCTGTGCAGCGCCTGCGGGCCATGCACAAACGGGACCTTGTTGCTGGTCTTCCCAGGGTGCTCCCTCCCCTTCCTGACTCCCCTGCTCCTGACTGCATACCCTGTGTCGAGGGGCGGCAGCGCGCCGCTCCTCACTCCTCCTCCTTTCCCCCGACGACCGCTCCCCTGCAGACGCTCCACATGGACGTGTGGGGCCCAGCCCGCGTCCGTGGTCAGGGTCAGGAGAGGTACTTCCTGATAGTTGTTGACGACTACTCGCGCTACACCACGGTCTTCCCCTTGCGCGCCAAGGGTGACGTCCCTGGTGTTTTGATCCCCTGGATCAGCCGAGCCCGTCTCCAGCTAGGCGAGCGCTTTCACTCGGACTTTCCTGTCCTGCGCTTGCACTCTGACAGAGGTGGTGAGTTTGCCTCCGACCTCTTGGCAGCCTACTGTGCTGAGCACGGCATTGAGCAGTCGTACACGCTTCCGGCCTCTCCACAGCAGAATGGGGTTGCTGAGCGCCGCATTGGCTTAGTCATGGAGGTCGCTCGTACCTCCCTGACCCATGCGGCTGCTCCCCACTTTCTGTGGCCGTTTGCGGTCCGGTACGCTGCGCATCAGCTCAACCTCTGGCCCCGTGTCTCCGTGCCGGAGACTTCCCCGACTCTGCGGTGGACGGGAGAGGTTGGCGATGCGTCGCGTTTCTGGGTCTGGGGATCCCGAGCTTTTGTCCGCGACACGTCTGTGGACAAGCTCTCCCGTCGCGCTCTTCCCTGTGTCTTCCTTGGCTTTGTTCCCGACGCGCCTGGATGGCAGTTTTACCACGTCACCTCGCGCCGGGTTCTGGCCTCTCAGGACGTCACTTTTGACGAGTCCGTCCCCTTCTACCGCCTCTTCCCCTACCGCACTGCCCCCCTCCCCCCTCCGCCGCTCTTCCTCGCTCCAGGTGCTGAGGTACCCGACCCCCTCCCCCCTCAGGGTGCCGCTCCCTCAGGTGTGTCCCAGGTAGACCCGGGTGAGCCTGTCGAGGTAGCTGTTGACTCGCGTCCTGCGTCTGGGGGTGCTGAGCCTGGGAGTGCTGAGTCTGGGGGTGCTGGGCCTGGAGGTGCGGAGCCTGGGGGTACTGAGCCTGGGGGTACGGAGCCTGGGGGTGCTGAGCCTGGGGGTGCGGAGCCTGGGGGTGCGGAGCCTGGAGGTGCTGAGTCTGGGGGTGCTACGTCTGGGGGTGCTGAGCCTGAGCGTGCTACGCCTGGAGGAGCCCTCTCCTCCCA